TGTGACTCTGACAAGCCTCAAGTTATATGACACAAACACACCCACATGGGGCCCCCTCGTGTCATCGTGGCATGAATGATTCTTAAGACTCCAATGAAACCAGTGCTGGTGCTACGAGGGGATAACGAAAGAGGGAAAAGCTTTATCATTATACTGAAATGCGTCACTAAATATTACTGCATTTAATTATTATTATTGGAGTAAGCATACTTCGCAAAATGTAATATTATTCCTTCAAATCAAAAATCAACAGGTAGCAGACCTAAAAGGAATTGCAAAATCATTTAATAACCGTTTCTTCTTAGGTGAAAATCAACTTTGATGTTCTGTTTTTTATATGTTTGCTGGTGAAGAACAAAGACATTTCTATTGTGAGATTTTTTTTCATTCCCAAAAACAATGCGATGATACTGGTGGGAACATTTCAGTTAATTCCAATAGTGTTTCAGCTGTTAAAGTCATTAAATACATAAGTATAGCGAGGAATAAGGCTTTAGCAGCACAAACGTACCCCGAAAAAATTGTGTGAACAGAATAACACTGCTGAGCAATTTAATAAAACTACTCGAATAAAGACTGTAAATAATCCCCAAAGGCTCACTGACAGCAAACCGAGCTGATGTTTTAGACTAAAACACGTCACGTCTCTCCAAACAGCTGTGTGGCACACAAAACTGTGAATGACGTTCATGACTCATCCACTCCGACCTGCCGGCGAGCAGCAGGGAGCGTCTGTCAGAGACGCCGACAACAACCTGCTTCAAGCAACCAGACAACGTTGTATTGATTAGCAAATGTAGACGGGTGGCAGACCATTAAAGGAAAGTGCTGCAGCGTCAAACACCAACAGGAACAACAACGAAAGGTAGTCATTTTTGTTTTGAGCACCTTGTTAATATGCTGGAGTGAATATTAAGTTAAATATTAAGCTTCAAGTACAACTGGAAAATAACCTTTGGATTTAATGGCTCAATTTCCAGTTTTTTAATGACGGAATGAATATTCCGACAATTCCTCTATTGTTACCTTAGGTACTGTACTATGGTAACATTTAAATACCACATTTCTCTGCTGCTAATTATTTCCAATTATTTCATGATTATGACATTTTGACCTTATAAGAACCATATGATTTCACAGATATTGTTATCTATATCACAATTGTATGTATGTCGTTGTATTATACAGGAAATGCAACCACCATATCAGTTTAAAGTCAGGCATATCAACATTAACTCGCTATTTGTTTGTTGTTTTCATTTAGATTTTAACTAGATGAAGGAAATGTTTCTCCTGAGGATAACATGAATGTCAGGGTTAGATCAGAATTTCATGGCAATCCATCCAATAGCTGTTGAGAACATTTGCCTTCAAATGTCAACTGTTTGTGGCTCCAGAGGAAAAGGATCAATGAAAGTCATAAATGTCATCTTCTGGGGACCATGAATGAATTAGGACAGCAGAATCCCCATGTCAAATGTGACAGAGGAGCAATAGACATCCTGACTGGAGCATCGGTGATATCGGCGTCGCTAAAGGATTCTTCAGGTGTGATTAGCTCCTCATCAGCAGCCTGTTTTACACAAGTATTTACCAGCAGACTGCTAAGCAGCTTCTTTCCTCAGGCTGTCCGACTGGTGATGCATGTGTTTCCCTCCACCACACAGGACCATTTTGTTTCGTGACCCTGTGATTTAGAATGCCAAAAGGTCTATTCATAAATCCTTTAAATGTTGCTGTAATTGGACCAAAGCAAGTACTTATTGTTGTTTGTCCAGTAGCTTAAAGGTTACTGAAATCTGGGAACACGTGTTTAATCACGTTCTGGTGTGTGACGACACTTTTTACATTACTGAATTTATATAGTTTTTCACAGCAGTCTGGCAAAAATCTGCACCTGCAGTGGTTGAATGTTGACCTCTCTACTGAAGACTATATAGTGAAGTGGTTTTGAGACTAAATTTCCACCATCCATCACAAAGCACAGTTTGAAACTGAAGGCTCATTCATCTCTCTTGTGTTTAAAGCAGCAGAAAAGGGAGAGATATCGAACACTAAAAGCCTGAAAGAAAAACACTACCGTGTTTAAAGAATAATTCATGCTACATTTCATCATTCCCGACCTCATGAAGTAAATATTACCGTCCATCACTGTCTAAAGCATTGTGTGCTGGTGCAGTCTTTTAATAAGATTCCCCACCTACAAAGAAGAGGTGGACTCGTTACTAAATCCATTTGCAAAGAATTGATTTAGGTTAATTGATCCATCAGAGGGGGTTATAACATCGTTTTTTTCAGTTTCTTTCCATGCATGACAATAAAGATGAGCTATAACATGATATGTACACAGTGATACTTAATGACAGTTTCAAGTCACTGCAAATATAATTTCATCCTGTACAGAAATGATTGGAATCCATTTATTAAAGAAGCTAAAACCTCTTTAGCTTGAGAATCTTGGAAATGAGCCAGTCTGCTTGTAAACCTCTTACCACAAACCACATGTGTGTTCCATAGACCGTCTGGGCTTGAAGCATGTCAATAAAAAGGTTCTAATTGAAGTTGTCTTTGTAAAATAGAATTTCACTATTGGTAAAAACCAGAGGCAAAGTGTCATTTAAAGTTGGATATTAGTCTCACTGGAAACTGGGCTCATGTTGCTGCTTCTGGGTAAAGTGAGAAAAGTGACTGGAATTTGAATGGATTTTTGATCACAAAGCCCGAAAAGTAATTGGATAATCGTGAGAAAAGGATGGATTCATCACACATGTTGTTCTTTGTCAAATGATCCACTCACACACAAACCCGTACCGATGTACAATTAAGATACAAAATGTATCTGGAATCTGGAATTACAAAGGGGGCTTTACAATCTTTTGCACAGGAAAATCTACCAACCAAAAAAAAACTTTGATGAGGAGAAAGAATTAATTAAAGGGGATATGTACACATAAAAAAACTAACAAACCTACAAATAGTATGAATGCCATGTTTTTCAAGAGAACGTGAATATACAAGCTCGGCTTTATGGGAAATTCCAGTTTTCCATCTCACGGGGAGGGCTGGCGATATTGCAGGCTCGGACACGCACCAGATGGTGGATGAGCAAGAAGACGAAGGAAGTAAGGCTCCATCCCTTAATAATCAGTCCTTTGAGTCAGTGCCTCTAATCAATACCTGTAAGTGCTCTGTATATTGAGTTTCCACTGCTTTTACAAGGGAGACTTTTTGTTTCAAAGCCGTCCTTGAGGTGGTCCTTCATCAACGAAGAAACACTAGGCTCACATGTTCTCTCCACCCTTTGATACGCATGTTCATAATGAAGGCTTTCAGTCTTAAAGGGAAATAGGTCACTACTTTATCGCATCTCTGCTTCTGTTACAATCCATGTTAATGTGTGTGCCATGCTGACAACACATTAATCTGGAAGTTAATCAGCTAGACTCCTCAGATGAGGCAGAGCTTGTCAACATGGGGTTAATAAAATGGCTTTTTAATATCAGATGTACCTACTTTGTGCACAACCAGGCACTAATTTTCATACTGTGAACAATCAGAATCAGCTTTATTTCCCACGAATGCTTATGCATACACAAACAATTGAACAAGAACAAAAAGAAATAGAACAGATATACGTATAAACATTTAAGGTGTAAATATATGTAAATATATATTTCCAATAAGGACATAAGTATACACAGATGACACACAGTGACCTCTTAACAGAATCTCAAAATGAAGATTTGGATCCTTTTAATATATTATAATATGGTATAGCATTGAAAAAATGGTTAAAACTTCATAATGACAAACTGCGTCCCGAATCCATACGATATTAACATGATACATCATGTTTGTGAATGTGTACAGGTCACGCATATGCATCTGCACACAGGTTCACATCTAGCATATAAACATGGGTTACAAAGACATGTAACTCTCCACAACAAGCCCAATAAGTGCATGTGTTTCATGCTTAAAGTGTATTGATTTGAGAAATTCAAAGCAGTCATAAAAAATCTTCCAACTACCATCATTAATTAGTCTTTAACCAAAAATAGAGGAACCTATAGAAGACTTCAGCAGCCCTGAACCTTCAGACAGCCGTTTTGTCGACTGAGCTTAAGTTTCCGTCTACTGTCCGGGTATGCCGGCCTGGTATGTAAGCAAAAGTGTTTTTTATCAAAAGACAATCAAAACATGTCGTCTTAAAAACATTATCTTTCTACAATCTGTCTCTCACCATCCCTCCTCCGTCCTGCAGTCTGCACGCCCAACTGGCACACTGAAAATAATGGAAAACGCTGTCACATAGAGGCCAATTATCCACATTATTTCCACTGAAGACACAGACGTCTATTTTTAACACTGCAAGGCCCTCTCATCTAAAAAGGGGCAAATTCATTAAGTGGCCTTTATTGATAAAGGCTTTTATTTTTACCTGTTGGCACACACGCACACACACACACACAGAGTAGCAGGGTGCGTCCTATTGCTGCGGTATTGCAACTACAATAAATGCATTGCAATACCCTGAACTTAATCCGAGTTTTGTCCCTGATAAGAAGCAGCGTGGTGTTTTCTTTAATACAGTCTAACAGACTGGATAATTGGGTTCCCTTCTCGTTCCTTGATCCTCGCCCTGTTTACTGTTTACTGTTGTATAGTGGGTTTTGTGGTCAGCTCGGGCTTTTTCCAGGATGTCCCAAGAGAACCAGATCAGTTTCAATGTTATTCCTCTAGCACAAGAGGATGTATCGGGAAAACAGATGAGCTCATTTTGTTCTTTCAGCCACAGCCGGGATTGAATCCCGGCATGCTTGTGATGACACGGCTCCTCTGGGACCCCGTCTGTTGCATTGTGGTCTACTTGCTCAGGTGCTTGTCTGTTTACACCAGCACAAAACAAGTTCCGTGGAAATTACAGTGCCGTAGGAAATGGAAGTCTTCAAGAAAACATAAAAAGTCCCATCGTAGACCAAATAAAGCAATGTGACTGATGTTATGCTGTGGCTCAGCAGCTGCAGGAGGAGGAGTGAAATGTGCTGCAAGGTGAGAGAGCTTAGCGGAACGGCAGGGAAGGAATCCTCCGCAGGAACAGGCATGATGACGCAGGTGTGTTTGTAGGAGAAAAGTTTGGATGACTTGTGCAACACGAGGGTAACGCGGCGGAAGAAGTACACAGAAACACAGACTGGACCAACTTTCTGTGCGACGCAAACCGATGAAGGAAGACCAGGTTCTTTCTCCTGCCTGTGCTGCTTCTGACCATCTACATATATTTTTTTAAGCTGCTAAGAGAGGATGAAGGGCTTTTTGCTTGGCGTCTATCTTCTTTGGGCGATGCTGCAGCTGTGCAGCATGCAGATTGCTTCACCTGCCACAGGTGAGTTGATAACGTATGCTGCCATACAGACGTGAAAGACTGTGTACACAGTAAGCTGACAGGTTGCAATGTCCTTTTTAATGTGTTTTCCTTTTGTGCAGATGCACTCTAAAACTTGCAGGTTTGGTGAGTCAAAGCGCTGCACGTGTCACACGCTGGCATTAAGAAATGCCGGTAAACGATCAAACGGCATTTAAGGAACAATTAAGGATCTTTGACACACGGAAGGGGCTGATCATTTTTGTGTTTCATTACTTTTAATTCAGAGAATCGAAGGGGTTTTATAGGTTCACAGCTCTCTAATCGAATCAATATAAAATATAATGGTTATGCTGTATATGAATATAATCGTTTTAAATAGTATAAAGAATAATTGTTATCATACACTACAAACTGGAAAGTACCTTTACTCAAGTAGTAGTGCTATAACTTTTTACCCCATTACATTTTATTGATTGCTGCAGCAACTGGTTTCATCATTTTACATACAAAACGCATGATCCCTATGAAATATATGAAGCTGATATCGATTCAACTTCTTAACAATATCTACAAAAATTAGATTTGCTTCAACAAGCTTACAATAAAATGCTATATAACAGTACTAATACATAAGAGTAGCAGCACTTACGCACTGATGATTACAGGTTAACAGAGTTATTTTACTTCTAAATAGTTATTTGCTGTCACTTAATAATATTCATTCATTCATATTTTTGATCATAAAGGATTTGAATACTTATTTCACCCATGGAAGTGATATATAGTGAGATATTTCATAGCTTCAAAAGGTGCCAGTTTGTGGCTTATTATGGGACAAAAACAGCTATGGAAAATGTAATCTCGTCCAAATGATGTCACCGCCGGAGATATTAAAGCCTTTTGGGACCCAGAAATATATGCAAGTAAAAGTGCGCCAACTCTGTTCTGTCCTAAAACATCCCAGGGTGATATCTTTTGATCGTCTCTGCACTAAGGCCTTGGCACTACAAACCAATGATACGACAGGCACGCTCAAATCTCACAAATACACATTCATGTATTGTCCTTTGAGGAATGCAAAGATGGAGCAATGCCTTTGCATCTCCCTCAACAACTCTTATCCAACCATCTCCCCTCGTCTTTCTGTCTCGGGTCCCGTTTTCCCCTTCAGCTGCTCCACTTACGTACATACACATGCCTTATTGCGCTCTTTCCCCTCATTCCTACCTCCCCGTTTATTTTCCTGCTGTTTTATTTTCTGTCTCTCTATAAAAGTTTAATGATTATGGACCACTGCTGCAATAAAAGAATGGGTGTGTTCTGCGTAGGAGCTGCAAATGGAAAAGTGCAAAGCGTGTGGTAGAAGGGACACAATAAAGCAGATGTATACATTATGTGGAGGACAATTAGGAAATTAGTGTTGAATTTATTTTCATTTAGGGCACACGTTTAAAAATCTTGACAACCCTCAATCTAAATTATCCTACGACAGATTGTCACTTCATATGTTTTTAGATATGATGATGTAGGCCCTGTGTCTATAACACTGGAACTATATGGGAACAACGTGTACCACATGTAGTGTAGCCACATGCAGTTCAACAACAGTTAATTGAGTCACCAAATGTATTGGAGATCTGATTGTGCAGGATGGTGCTTCCAGCTATAATTCATTCTTGCCATTGAAAATTACTCCACTACAGACACGGATGTGGAAATGGAGCACAATGGCTCCTGAGGTGTGATGAAGGTAGAAGATGTTTATTCGAGTGAATCTAATATGTGGGATAATTTTTTCCCCTTATTATGCACTGCACTGCTTTTTGGTGGTTGGGGAAGGAGTTTTCACTGCTTTAATGGGAATCTCAATATGGTTACATAATAATTAAACTAAAATGGCCAGTATTACAAAATAAAACACTTCATATACCTGTTATTGCATTTTGTTCTTTATAGTATTGCTTCCCCAACGACAGCATTAGCATCTATGACATTAACAAAATGAGCCTAAGCTAAAATAAATCGGTGTTACAAGACTGAGATATGTATGTAGTCATTGTGGTACGATTCATCACTGCCAACCGTCTCTGGTGTCTTTGCACCTAATCCGGAAAGTATGTTACAGGCTTATTCTAAAATGGATTAAATTCATTTTTTCCTCAAAAATAAGAACAATAACTAATAGCGTAATTAAACTCTATTAAAAAGGAAGGACATGGGTACATGTTCACAGCCTTTGCTCTACAAAGGCCTTTGTTGAAGGCTGTTTGGCAGTAATTACAGCCTCGGTCTTTTCAGAATGATGCTGCAAGTTTTTGAGCAGTTTCTCTCTTTGTAGAACCTCTCCAGCTCCATCAGGCTGGATGACGAGCGTCGGTGCACAGCCATTTTTAGATCCCTCTAGAAATATAGATATATCGGGTGTATGTCCACATTGGGGGGCACTTACAAGCATGAGATTCAGGGTGTCAGGAATGACATTCACACAGAATGTACATTCAATGACACAACAAGAGACACACAGGGCTTAAATACACTGGGAAGGTGCAGGTGATTGGACACAGGTGGAAACAATCAGGGACACGGCAGACAATCACAGGGGATGACAGGACAAGGCAGGAAGTGAAGTTAACCCAGGGACACAAGAGGCAGGAAACTACAAAGTAAAGCAGGAAATAAACCCAAACCGTGACAGCGACGCTGTGTGTATGTGTGTGAAAAGTGGCTGCTTTTGGTGACAAACTCGACTGGTTTCTACCTGGTAAATTACACTAAATGTGCTGAGGCAGAGAGGCGCTAGGCCCAAAGAGGAGAACCGCTATAACCATTAGGAAGAGTATGTGTATTAATATTTTTGTGGTGAGACGGTGGAATGGCTTTGATGAAGAAATTAAGCAAAGTATGTGAAATCAGTTCAAGAAAATTAATAAATGATGTATTGTTCTTATGAAGTACAGGAATGAGGACAGAGCCGTGTCTTTTTCTCTCTCGAGTTTGAACCTTGTTGCTGTGTTGATACAATCGCATATTGAAATGACCTTTCTGCTTCTCCTTCTGTTGTGCACAGTGTTAAACTGCTGTGAAGGGGATATTCTCATTCTGCTGGACTCTTCCGGCAGTGTAGCCAACCACGAGTTCCTTCGCCTGTTGCTCTTCGCCACCGAGCTGTTTCGACCCTTTTCACTGGGCCGTGGGCACGTGAGAGTCGGGCTGCTGCAGGTGGGCACGAACCCTCATCTTGAGTTCGGCCTGGATGTCCACAGCCATCAGGAGGGTTTGCAGAAAGCTCTGCAGAGCATCAGCCAGCTGCAAGGCGACACCAACACAGAGGCGGCGCTCAGGGTGGCCCAGCGGGTTCTGACAGAGACGGACGAGAAGGTGCCAAAGATACTGCTGTGGCTGACTGACGGTGTGCAGCCCGGAGACGTGGACGAGCCGATGTCTGGGATGAAGGCGCGGGGCGTTTCTGTTTTAGCCGTTTCGACGGTTCATGGCAACTACCAGGTGTTACAACGTGCAGTGACGCCTCCGCTGCGTTCTCACCTCTACTCTGTGGACATAGAGAGCATAGACATCATCACAGAGGACCTGAGAGATGCCATTATTGGTAAGTTTGTGTGTGTGTTTGATATATGAGGTTTAGTACAGTAGAAGCTCTAGTTCCATGGAAATTGATTTCTAACTAATAATGATCCGATTTCTCTGTGTTATCTCACCTTGGGTTATCTTTAGAGATTATCCGTGCAGAGCGTCTGCGTGTGGTCCACTTGACTTCCCACAGTGCTGTGCTGCAGTGGCGTCCGGTTCTGAGCACAGACAGTGGTTTCTATGAGCTCTGGTACAACTCTGTGAGGAAAACGGACAACGGAATCAGACGCATTCTGCCAGGGGACTCCACCGTGGTCCAGCTGACGGACTTGCAGCCTGATACCACCTACACAGCGGCCCTGCGACCCGAATCCAACCAGAGGGAGTTTAACACGCTCTCTGTTACCTTCACCACACTTCCTGGTGAAATTTAAAAAATGGGCAATGCATTTCGAAAACATACGTGTTATTGAATTATAGACCCTGATAGATGTAAATCCTAAAACTGGAGACCCAATCTTTCAACAGGCTGTATTGGATCAGCACATGCTACAGCTACCAATCTTTGCCCCCACGACCCCCCCCCGACCCCTCCTCCCTCATCTCTCCTCAGACGTTCTAAGCCCGGCAGTGGTCTCCGTGTCAGACTCCGGCCCTCGTCAGATCCGCGTGAGCTGGGGTCCCCTGCAGGGGGCCCGAGTCCAGAGATATACGTTGGAGTATGGAGCTATTCCCAGCGGAGACGTCCGCACCCTGATATTACCCGGCCAGCAGAACTCCACGGTTCTGACCGGCCTGCAGCCGGACACCCAGTACCTGGTCACAGTCAGCGCTCTGCACGTGAATGGGAAAGAAAGAGCCATGTCTGTAAGGGCGTGCACTCAAGAGGGTACGTGTTTTTGGTTTGAGGTCGGTATACCATGATTGTATGTGTGTGCTTGTGGGTGTAGAAATGTGACTGTGTATTTCAGTTCCACATTTTATTTAGCATTTATTGAAAGTTAAACTTTTGGAGGCCATTTGTGACTCATTCCTACGTAGTCTCACTTGAACTGTTCATTTCAATTGTTCTCTTGCTTTCCTCTTGTTTTTGTTATTCATCCCGGCAGCTTCTCTGCCGGCCCTGACCGACCTTCAGTTGACCCAGTCGGGGCGGCAGGAGATCCGGGTGGCATGGCAGGCCCAGGAAGGTTTGCAAGGCTACTGGCTGAGCTGGGAGGCAGGAAGCTCCTACGGTCTTAATCCCTCCGTGTCCTCTGCCTACTTGCCTCCTACCTCTCTGTCGACGCGCCTTACGCACCTTGCACCACACGGTCGAGTGTGCGTGTCCCCGGTGTACAGCTCGGGCCGAGGAGACAGGCTGTGCTGCACTGCGAGGAGCCACACAGATTGGCCCAGCTGACTGTTACCATCATCTTTTTCTAAATTTTATTCCCACATTCACATTCATAAATAGCTCATTGGAGGAAGTGTAATTTTCTCATTTGTCCGTCTCTTCTCTTGGATGAATTCCAGCCAGAGGGGTTGACGACCACAGTCTGCAGCAATCAGGCTGCTGGAGCAAAAGAAAGTTGATGAAATACGGCATCATTATTTTTGTATAGTTAAAATGTTCATCATGGAATAAATCATAGTGGCGGAAAGGGTTTTTATCACAAAATCCCAGCACAGTGGCTCAGCAAAATGTGACATAATTATAGATTTTAAATTGGAAAGGAAATCCGCCCCCACATTCGTTCCGATATTTAACTTTCACATGCAGTTAGTCTGACAGGAGCGTAAGCTGCTGCAGAGAATGCGATGCTCATTTAGCATTATTATTATAGCCTACGCTTATAATAATAGTATAAAGGCCAACGCCACACATGAAGATTATAAAATATCAGTATAATTTTGACCAGTTTCCACAGTTTAGTTGGATGACGGAGGAGGACGGGGGTCTGCAGCCTGTTTCCAGGGTTTACAACTTTAAACTGTAATGTAAAGGGTTATGCTTCACCTTCTTTTCCTTACTAGCTGTACTCATATCAGATCAAAATCACATAAGCACTCCTGATATCAGTAACACGTATCGTCTGGGAACACGAGGAGTATATCAATTGGATGGATTTTTGGTCACAAAGCCCGAAAGGAATTGGATAAGCACGAGAAAACGATGGATTCCTTTAACAAGTATAACATACATTACGAAACATGATAAATTCTAGAACTAAAGTTATGCAATTAAAAATGCAAGTGCCCTGATAAACTGTGAGGTGTAACCTGTTCGAACACAGATGACGTGGTTGGCACATAGAGGATAATATTATTCCATGTTTTCGGCTCTTCAGATCAGATTAAATTTAGGTTCTTTGTGCACATACAGTGAATGATATGTACAGTGAATATACCGTTCCTATTACTTGTTGTTGAATATTTTATTTTCTATGCTACTGAAATGGTCGCCAGGTTTTCTGTTAAAATGTTGTTTTTTTAGAAGGGGTTAGAAAATTCAGATTCGTCCTGTTTAGTATTTGCTTGTTCATGACGCCACCTGGTGGTTGCATGCTGTAATCAGAGATTGACGATTGAATAAATGATAATCTATGTGACATTACCCTTTAGCATTATTACCGGTTACGTTCAATTATATTTTGTAACTTCACTTGTTAACTTCACAATGTTATTCGTACAAATATTAGTGAAGTCCTTGGTGTGTTTCATTACTACGTAGCAGTGACAACAAAGGGACATGCCGACCTAAACTCAAGGTACTGTAGAATGTTTCAAACCCAATTTAATTTATTCAACATTGAAGAAAGGAAAATTACTTATTGAATACACAATATATTTGTCAGCATTGTTTATCATTTGCACCTTGCAGCATCTTGACAAAACATACAACACCCATCCATATATTTAATATTCTTTAATTATTTATGTTGCTCTAGAAAGCAAATTTCAAGTTTCTTTTAGTTTAAATAATTCTCTCTCACTTGTATGAAATACTTCACAATTGCTAAACCAGGTTTTGACAAATAGCGGTTTGTACAGAATACAAACACAAAACCCGTCACACTCCAAGCCACAACTTACCTTCGATTGACACTTTAACAAGAGCACATCTAGAAATTTAGCCAGAGTGGATTTAGTTCATATGTGTTGAGGCTTGTTAGATTACTGACCACCTGAATTAGTGACCATTGTGTTGTTTTAATGATAAATGAGGAGTGAAATTGTTTGATTTTAAGATAAGCTTTGTGTTTATCAGCACTTATATTTAACTTGGTAACATACAGTAAAAACACAAGTTACATTACGCTATTAAATTCCTGAAAACACAATCACAAAAATACATGCACACAATCAGAAAGGCTTCCACGAGGATGATGGAGAAATAAATAAAGTTGCAACGTAAGGACATTTAATTCAGGAATACGCTAATTAATCTCCTGTGGTTCATTAACATGTGCCTCAAGATCCCAAAGGCGTAGAACATTGTGTTGCTTTTTGTCTTTCTGACAGCCTAACGGGGATCGTCTCACCAGGCCGCAGCACAGCGACACCTATGTTATCGGTTTTCTGTCCTGATGACACACGTAGAATAACCTTCTTTCATTGGCTCCAACAGGAGTGTCTCAAGTTGTCTTACTGCACCTGCAAAGATCGAGAAGGACAAAATAGCACAGGAGTCAATATACTGGTGCATACCATGCCAGCAGCATGCAGGAGGACGGGTAACTGAATTATATCCACTTTGATATTGAAGTGATGAGAAAACATGCTTAAAGACCTACTGCTGTTAAAACCTCATAGACAAGTTTGGTGAGAAAGCGGCTGCAATGGCGGAGCACATTGGGGAAGATGGAGAGAGCACGCTTATTGGAATGGGACTTCGTGTCTCCGTGTCCCCCGTGCAAACTGCTTTTTACATCATGCTGGTGACTCTGGGCATCCTGGGAAATTTCACCGTCGTTGGCGTGATCGGTAAGAGTATAGCAACGGACCACGTTGGGGGACGTAACTCGGACATCATCATCATTAACATGGCACTGTCTAGCCTGCTGGTGTCTGTGATGAGGAACATACCGCTTGTCATCTCTGACATTGGACTGGAGGTTTGTGCTCTTTAGGGTCAATTTTATTTTTGAAATTGCCAACCATGCTGATTTCTTGAGTGTACTTCTTTGCCATTTGGAATCCTTTTTCTGCCACCACACGGACCTACAGCAGCTAAAAGATTTATTAGACACGTGGCAAATTCAGTAAGGGGAAGAGACCTCTTGCAGGGGGTAAGTGAGAACATTTGCTAATACACACCGGCCTCTTTTCTTTGACAGCTGTACTCTTCCAAAGAGTGGTGTCAGGTCCTCATGGGCCTCTGGGTGTGGCTGCGGTCGGTGAATGTGTGGTCCACGCTCTTCCTCAGTGCGTTCCACCTCCAGACGTTGAGGCGCGTGGCTCCCACCGCGGTGAGCCGTAACGGGCCCCGGGGCCTTCCCAAGACCCTGCTGCTCAGTCTGACCCTCATCTGGCTTCTCAACTTGGTTTACTCCATTCCTGCTCATATCTTTTCCACTAGCGGAGACGTGAACAGCACAGAGGTGAGAGCCTGCAGGAGGCTGCATTATCTTACAAGCCTTTCAGCCGTATTTCATTTTGTGCACCATGTTACTTTGTTTTAGAGATGTTCTTTTACTTTATTTTCTATTTGAGGCTTGTTTGCCATTTATTTCTGTACGAGATGAAAAGTCCAAGCATTTTTAAACCTACTTTCATTTACGTCACAATAAACAAGTTGTCTTCCTTTTTTTTTAAAGTTAACGTCATCATAATAAAATTACATTACTTTAAAGGTAACTTTAAAAACGTGTTACCGAATGATAATGTCAAATTGACCAAAAGTAGTAAATTAGACAAAGCCTGTGTAGCAAGATTTTAGAAAAATGGTGGGGAAAATGTTTCAGAGGTCAACAAATCACTGAGATACTCGCTTAAAGTTTAGAGGAATGTTTTGTGACGACAAAATTAGTAAAATTTGATGTAAAAAATCTTGACAAAGTGATGTGAAAAGTCCTTAAATCATGTAGATTCGCAATATGGCGTCATAAAGATGTGTCAGACGTAGATTTCCCTCATGATACGGCTATAACTCCTCTCCGAGGATTGCTCACTGAAGGTTTTTTCCGCCTCTGCTCCTCCATCTGCTCTCTCAGACCCTGATGCTGGTGAGCAGCACAACGCGCCCCCTGCTGGGCTGCGTGTGGAACTTCCCCTCCAGCTACAGCGGTCTGGCCTATGCAACCACGTCGATGGTGATCCACGAGACTATTCCCATAATCCTAATGGCCATTACCAACCTGGGCTCCCTGTACACACTCTACACCCACAGCAGGGTGCGCAGTACAGATGCTCCGGTCATAAAGCGGGTTCCCGCTGAAAGACGGGCGGCCAAGGTGAGGAGGACCAGGGTGGAAGGGGGAAGACTTGAGCTCATGGTCATCTTGAAGATGAGTTGTGAATAGGGAATTTAAATGTTCCATGAAAGAAAGACATGATAAGCTAAAAAGTCAGAACTTCAATTGTTTTACATTTTTATTTGAGTCAAAGTGGACATATTACAGTAGTTTCACTTCTCTAATTCATCGTTTTGTGTTTCTGCAGGTGATTCTCACTCTCATAATGCTCTTCATAGTATCGTGGGGAACTAGCATTATCTCTGTCAACTATTTCAACTACAACAGGGGCTCTTCTGCAGAGTATCTTCTGATCATTGCTCGTTTTGCCAACATCATCTTCATTGCAATGTCCCCTATTGTTCTGACATTCGGCCACCGCCGGCTGCGTTCTTTCGTCAAGTCTACACTCTCTCACTGACAGATACCATGTGCAGCTCACACAGTACTACTATTACAATACTATTATTTACATCACTAAAAACATTTGAAAGAAGGCTCGTGGTTAAAGGTATGAATGTATTATCTTTCTCTCTGTGAAAGAGAAAAGTAGCCAACAAAGTTGTAAACTTGTTGCCATGTAAATATCCCCAGGATGCGAATAAAACTTAAATTAAAAAGAAAATCTCATAGCTTACTTATTTTTTCTTGTTTTTGGGCGACATCTTTTAAATATTTTATTTGGCGTAGATTGAAAAAAAGGGTTTGAGCCATTGTACCTTTTAATTCCAGACTGTAAAGCCTATTGAGACATTGCACCTGCTATTGGTTGAAGCCAAAAGAACCATCATAGTGCATATTAGCTCAAAATATACAACAGAAAAGCAATGATACATTGCATTGGATGAAATAGTTTTAACAATAAAAAATATAAATCCTCCGCTTGATTATATGTAATAATTTCTGACTAAGCTATTGCATTCAATTTCTTGAAATATCTTAAAAGCTTAAATAACACCACACTTTGCTTCCATCACTTGTCAGCTTGAGCGTTCCCTTTCACTTGTACCACCATCCTCTCTTCTTGAACAATAAAAACAGATCGTTTTCCCCTCCTTCCTTTAGCCTTTGGGGATTTAATACGCTCTTCGCTGTTCTCCTTGCGGCATTTAAGAACTTCGGACCACATCAGGATCATATTCATGATTCTCCTCCTCAGCTTACCATGTCCCAGGGCCACCACCATGGGGCTGAACCCCACAAACAGCGAGGCAGAGAAGTGGGCCACAGTCAGCAGCCCCTCGGCATGGTCTCCCCCGTCGTGGTTGTAGTACGTCACCGCGGCGACCTGTAGCGCCCAGCAGACCACGAAGAGCGACACCAGCGACACGATCACATGAGCTGCTTTGCGTTCCGTGGACACGTGCTTGTCCAGCTCCTTCTGGGTTTCTCCCGGGTGTGCCCCCGCGGCGACGGCTCGGATGTGCTTTGCCAAAGCGTGCAGCGTGGCCAGGTTGGTGCACACCATCAGCACCAGCGGCAGCACCTCGTTGAGCGCGAGCGAGGCGGAGGCGAAGGCAGAGCCCTGTTGGTTGGAGGGGAACTCCCACACGCAGCCTAGGAGCGGCCTGGTGGTGCAGCTGATCACCATCAGCTCCACAGTGGCATTGCCGTGGACGTGAGTGCTATATACAAGAGCTGGGATTGAGAAGGCCAGGTTGGCGCCCCACACCAGCCCCAGAGCAATCCAAACGTGCCGTCTCTCCCTCTCCTGTGCGAGAGGTCCACAAGCCACGTGCTGCCGCCTCAGGACGGTGCAGTGGAAGATGCTGAGGGCCAGGGTCACCCAACAGCCCACAGCTCGCCACCAAACCCACAGCAGCATGAAGATTCGGCACCAGCCCAGAGACAGAGACACATCCAGGCCCAGGTCTGACACAAAGATGGGCACCGTGCGGAAAAGTGAGGTCAGGAGGTTGGCCAGTGACAGGTGCACCAAAATAGTATCAGAGGGAGGGAGTCTCCGAGATGGACTCTCAAAGGCTGACTGAAACACCTGAGAGTAGAAGCGAGAAAGACTGAGAACATTTCTGCAAAAGACATTCAGCGCGATTAACAGACAAAAGTCCCAATTGATTGTCTCACCACATGGATGACCAAGATGTTCCCGAGAATGCCAGAAAAGACAAGGAGCCCAAACAAGACAGCGTCTACAGTGAGGACCTCTGACATGTCATCATCCTTTGCATTGCGACATAACTTGCTTTTTCTTGGGGCCAAACATGTGTGTGAGACTCAGAGTGGCACGTCAAGGCTTCACATGGCCCACTACTGCTGCCTTATATATGCACGCAGAGACCAACAAATGTGCTGTACGTGCAGACGCAGACATTTTCCACAGTTTCTTTGCGCATCACTAAACATCAATGATCGCCTCAACGCGTGCAGGTTGCTTCTTGTGCTCATAACAGCCTGTTATAATTAAATTAAAGTGTAACTCCGCTGAACAAAAACATGTGATCGTCAATCTTCAAATTGATCTTTTAGTAATAACTCTTAATAATTAGTTTTGCTAAATAAAAACATCTAGAATCAGACCATAACTGCCAATTACGCAGATTTAACCAATTACTGTGTATGACTTTTAGGGAATAGGTAGAGCTCAGTCGGTCCCACGGCGTTCTCCCCTATGAGTCAGCTATTCACGCTCTCCCTTGATACTGATTGTTTACTGAGTTTCTCTAATGCCACGAGGCAATCATTGGTTCGAATAATGTCGCACAAGCATTGCTTAATTAAATCTTGATCGTACATTTTTCCACTGTGCGTGAGATTAAACTTGATTTTTTATCACTCTGATTATTAAAGGGGCTTGTTGCTCATGATGCTTTTAAACAGAGAACATTGGTCAATAACTTCATTCAACAGTGATTGACTTTATATAGTTGGGCCTTTTCACCTCAAGACCTCTCGACTGCACTGCATGTAAGAATGCTACATCTAAAGGGGGGGGGGGGGGACAAAATGATAGCAACACGTGCACTAGCCCCCCGGAAGACCACTAAGAGCGACACCAAGATTACATCCTGTTGTCTGATGCACTATGCCGTTATGAGTGTTATCACTTGTGTTGTCATAGAGGTATTTGTGTTATTTAGTGCCAACAGTATTGTTAATATGCGTTTTAAGTGTTTCTGTGAACATTCATAGATGAAATAACCTAAAGATCTCCAATTACCACAAACTGTTATCTCCATCCCCTTCTTATTTACAACATATTTACAGAAATAAGTTTAACCCAGGAAGGATTCGCAGCTACCACTTTCTGTCTTGCATATATCATGTTCCTGTTGTGAAAATTGGGGACTTGATATTCTAGATGTCTATCTTGTCCATTTCTTACAAAACAACATTTTCAGTTTCTATACTGGATTTGCAAACTGATTATTTATAAATACAGATTGGTTTCGTTGAACACCATGCATCCAAAAGTGAGTGCAGAAACACCTCAGTGGCAAAAAACACAAAATGGTAGTAGTCTCCTTATCAGTGAAGCTCATGAAACCATTGTTAAACATTCAGACATTAAAAAAAAAATCAGTGAGACAATTATGCCATTGAGCTTTTGAGTCAATTCTAATCTGAATAAACACTGATTCTGCGCATTTCTGAGTATAATTGATGAGTACTGAATAGCCTACTAGAGTGTTTTCATTGATTGTAGACCTCTGCTTTTCTGAGCGGGCTTTGTTCTGCGTCTGCTGAGTGGTTTTTGCACCGGGAGGCGAAACAACAGCAGCTCTGACCTGCAGGTGGGCAGCAGATGCGCGTCGCTTTCAACCTTCCCTCCGTCAGCGTGCACGGCACACTGACACGCGCCTGAGGCGCTCGTGTGGGATGACGACTCCATCGATGACTGCTAATTTGTCAGCGCACGCGCCCACGCGCTGCCGAGCCTCGAAGCGTCGGTGGCTTTTGCGCCGAGCCGGGCAAGAAGGAGCGGGTCTGAAGGCACGACGGCCGGGGTCCTTCTCAACACCGACACCGGGAAAGGGATTTTATTTTTATTTTTCATAAATGCATGTGAGTCGAAATCCAAAATCGCGCGCTCTGCGTGGCGAGACGCCTGCGTGACTGCATGTTGTTTTTCTGTCGCCGATCTCATGGCAGACATCGACCCCGCCTCGTTCCGTCGCCCGTCCGATCCGCTGTGAGAGGAAATCATTCCGCTGGGAGATGAAAAGCCAACAGCGACCATCGCTGTTGGCCCTTTCGGCACTACTGCTGTGCACATTGCACCAGACAGCTCGGACCCACAGCTTTCATCGCAGCAGCTCTGCATCACCGTCATCATCAACAACAGCAACAACAACAACACACCCTTCAGAGTCTAAAGACAGGAATCGTTTGGGGACCCAAAACTGGTCTATACAGACTAAAAACAGTTCGAATTATGGCTACCGACGCTACAAAAATAGTCCATCGTCGCTAAGGCTCAAGGAGGAACCAGGTCCATCTTTCAACTCGAGTGATGGCACTACTGTGGGATCTAAAGGGTCTGACAGGGCGCCGATCTGGATCCCCAAGGAAGGGCCGTCACCACTGTGTGCCTACCAAGTGATTGAGGGAGGCGTCGGGGAGCCGCTGTGTTTTAGGCACACGCTGTTTGGGTTCAAGTGTCATAAGGGAGAATGCAGCACCGTGGTGTCCGTGGGGAACCTGGTGGCAAATATTCTCGTCAATGGCAGCGTGCTGTTGCAGTGGACCCGAGAGGTGGAATCCTCAACCATCGGCCGAGGCGAAAACACAAAACCAGCTGCAGCTGGTCGGACGGGCAGCGGGGATCCGGGGACAAACATAACAACGGAGGAAACTCGACGATCAAACCCTCTCTTCGGTGGCCGACGGCACGAGAGGGCCGGCTACGAGTTAAACTGCTGGTGGAACGGGAGCTACACTCAGTTCGAGTGTGCCGGTGTCCATCTTGGATCTGGCTGCAGGGACCTCCTCCTGACTGAGCTGCACGAGAACATCCCCTACCGCATCTGCCTGCGCTCTCTAGGCCGCTCGGATGCAGATCAGAAAGCCAGCCGGCGGGACTGCGTTGAGTTTACCCTGCCGCCGTCTGGGATGCAGGACATCGTGATCGCCATGACGGCGGTCGGGGGAGCTATTTGCGTGATGCTGGTCATCATCTGCTTGCTTGTGGCATACATCACGGAAAACATCATGAGCCCCACGACGCAGCACACGTACTACCAGACTCACTCGCGTCACTGATGCTGACGTCACCGTAACACAGCGTAAATTTAACATCCATGACGACATTATCTAATCTCAATGTCACTAAATGGTCCTTTTCAATCAGCCACGTGCTGATATTCGCATTCTGTTGTGAGTGAATTTAAGCACAAACTACTGTTGCTCTGCAAATAACATGCCTTGTCAACCTCTGCACTGAACCAAAAGTACTGATAACCTGTATTTAATAACATACAGTTAACTGTTTTTGTTTGAGTTTTTGAGTCCATCAATCTGTAAGCTGACAGCAATACAATAAATGAAATGATGAAGTGGCTTTTAGTGCATCACAAACAGAGGTTTTTGCTTAATGTGCAGCCTATGACATGGCAGACATGTGCTGTCTTTGCTGTGACACAGGGGAATTTAAATTTCTTTTTTTCCACTTGACTAAACCATTCCATCATCTATTGTGGCTTTTAAGTCCGCCTACAGTGTGTACTTGTACTATTTTGTGAAGGGCAATACTATCTGTTGTACAATCTCCACTGTGCCAAACACCTTGAGTTAAAATGACTTTATGTTCCTGCTGTCAGTAAATAAAGTACCATAAGGTCATTTGTAATACTTATGAGCTGTCCTTGTTTTTCTCCTTGCGCGTGAGACCATGTGTCCATTTGTGTGTCCTTACATTCTTGGACAATTGTCAAGGATAAACAACAGACAGGAATTCAAAATACATGTAAACACAAACCCTTATTAGAGCGGTGTGATGCAAGTCAGTCACTGGGTGATGATGATGTGATATCTAAGGAATGCATCATGACATACATCATCGTACATAAGATAGAACAATAAGTCCAGCGGGAAGAATGAACACAACAAGAAAAATACAACAATCAAACAAACAAAACTGCTATTGTGCAGATGCAGTAACATCCACATGGATGCAAGGGAACGTATACAACCGTCAAAGTCAGATGTACATTATATCAATAGTGAGAAAACATGAAGTTGTCTTTTCACCCCACTTTTTTTTATATTCCATTGACCTATATAAGATACTAGCACGAACTAAACAGAAAAAGTACACATTTTGCCACTCTGTAAACACGTTGTTAACTTGTATATTAGTGAAGAGTTTATTTGGATTAACCCTTTATTTTACACAGTCCTTTATTTATATTTAATATAGTGTTTTTTATATTTAAAGTAGGCATTTGCTTATATTTTATTTCTTTATTAAATCAACTAACGTTCCACGTCCCTCTGTATTTGATCATTTACATAATTTTAATATATCGACGTCACGTCTGCATGCCTCAGCGTCACGAGCAGGAAACTCCGCCCTCAAATAGCCTCACGTGATAAAGCCGCACTACACCATCGGGCCGCCGCCATTTTAACTTCCTGCATCAAACGAAGACGAGCAAATCGTACAGCATCCGTACTCGAAAACGTCTCGTTATTTAGTGTATCAAAGGGGGTTTGTCTTGGGTCATTGTTTTCTATTTCAGGGATCGAACCGACTAACGTTACACCAGTAGAGCCTCAGACCGCTCCGTATCGTTCGGTAGTCAGCCGGAGGGTCGCTATGCCGAGCCACCCGCTGCGTGTAGCGGTTGTGTGCTCGAGCAACCAGAACCGCAGTATGGAAGCGCACAGTATCCTCAGGTAAAGATGAGCCGCCGAGAGGAAACACGAAAAGGGGGAAGAACCCAAAAAAAACGCCACCAAGGGGAGCCGTGCCGTGTTGATCCGTTCCCCGAGCGGGTTCGGGAGTGACGCCGACACGGCGGCGCTCCGTCGGGCCTCGTCCGCAGTTGACAAAAGGACTCGATCCTTCCGCGCGTCACAGCGGGGCTACTGCGTGCTGTGCGACGCGGGTTTCTAGATGGGTTTATGGTCGCCTGAAGTAAATCCTCACACTGGATTTAGTTTTCATACATTTTGAACGCTTTTAATAGACCAGCCCAAGTTTTTTTTTAATTCTCCCACAAGTTGACTCAGCGCCCCCTGTAGGGAACAACCCGGAAGGGAGCAACTGCAGCTCGCGCATCATCTGACCAGCAGTCACGCACCATCTTAAAGGGTTGCGTAGATTTACTGTTTGAAGCCGGTTCTTTGTGCTGGGTTGAGACTGTCAGACATTTCACACTTGATCTAGTTCCCCACGGCCTTTAATTTTAAGAGAAAATAAAAACCCATTCCTGGCGTGAGATTTTATTTTTAAATTTTAAAGTTACTTTTTTATTTAGTGGGGGACAATGTAAAATGCCTAATGTTTTTTGTAAATTCACCCTGTGTTGCATGTTTGGGAGGAGGTAATTTGAGAATCTGTCTTAATTGTTTTAGCTTCTACTTTCAAGGTACCAAGGATCGCAATTGGCTGATCATACTTTTTTTGTCTCCAATTCTTTATTCAACATGCAGTTTAATATTTATTGTCTTGTCCTTTTCATCTTTGCAGCAAACGTGGATTTGATGTGCGTTCATTTGGGACAGGCTCTCATGTGAAGCTACCCGGTCCCGCCCCGGATAAACCCAATGTGTATGACTTCAAAACGACATATGTACAGATGTACAACGACTTGGTCCGCAAGGACAAGGAACTGTATCCCCTTCTCACTCACATTTCCACACACGCACGTTTATGGTGTATTCTGGGAGCCAGATAAGTAGACATGGCCTGTGTTCCGGCACGTGTGTCGCTTTTTTAGGTGTTAGGGGCAGCGTTTGAACGGCACGGCAGACGGGACTGCAACGATGAGTAAATCCGATGCAGGGGTTTTGAAATGTGTGACTGATGTATGCTGTATTAAACCCGTGGTAAACAGGGATGCACACTGCTATACAACATTAGCTTAAAGGTTTTTGTGTTACTACTGTTCTTCCTTGCAGGTTTCCCTGCATTTTCAATGTTTTATATGTTAATATTTTTACGGTCTTAAGGAACACTGGATTGCTAGACAGTAAATGACTGGCTCTCTTGTCTTAATCCTGTAATTGTTTTGAATTGTGGTTGCATCAGTAATTTAGTAGAACTGAAACGTAAAATATAGAAATCTAACCACAAGAGATCAAAGAACAGTGGTGACAAGTAGACGACACCGACAAACAGGGTTTTAACCAATGTGTGTTAACACAAGCCTTAAGAAGCCCGTAAACTATTGCAGTGGTCTCACTTTCTAACCCAGATGCCGAAGTTGTCTCAGAAACTTTGTCTTTATCAAACCCAACTTCTGAGAAGGTCATCTGGCGTTATTCTTGTTAAATGGGCATTTTGTGGAAATCAAGGTTAAAAATTAGCACGGCTGTGTTTAAAGTCTTGTTGGTATTACTGTATTTCAGGTGTAATTTCCCCATTCCACGGTAGGTTGTCTATAATGAATTGTAAACTCACTACCCTGTGACTTAGAATGTATTAATAGATGTACATGCTACCTATGACAACTATTAATGTGATTTATTTTTAATTTTTTGTATTGCAACTTTGCATGGATTTTTTTAAATATAGTCCACCATTATAGACGATTCACCATGGTGCTTGGTCTTTTCTTTAATTATACATTTGCCATTTGCGTCTTGCCCATGTAGTGACAGAGCAACATATTTTGGATAAAGATTTGGAAACATGGACAACATAACATTTTTAAGGGAAACGGATCTAGTCTGGAATGGTGGTTTGAGAACGTTATGGAAGTGGAACATTTAACTGGTATCTCCACTAGTGCCAAAGCAGTAGTTCTTCCAGACGCCACTAGGTGGTGCCGCAGTTCCTCTAATTAGAATACGTTCTGATACCATCAAGTGAGTAAACCACAATGAAAACAAAATATGCATTCTCATTCAGACATTTTATCATTTCCAGTCTTCTGTTCGTTGAAATAATTTCTCGGATAGTGCCGTGACTTGATGTGTTGTTGGAGGTGTTCCCCTCGCTGCTGCTTTGTTCCTTGACCACCTCACTCCTCAGATACACACAGAATGGCATCCTGCACATGCTGGACCGTAACAAGCGCATCAAGTCAAAGCCGGAGCGCTTTCAGAGCTGCAAGGACAAGTTTGACCTGGTCATCACCTGTGAAGAGAGAGTCTATGACCAAGTGCTGGAGGGTGAGGCTTCTCAAAAGAAATGTTAAATCACTAAATTTATACAGTTGGTAATTCAGAGCCTCTTGCTAGTATTGATTTTGATACTGGACACCACATTTCTGTCCCACAATTATTTGTATGCAGACCCAAGTTTCTACTCCGAGCACTTCTGATTGTGTGGCACACATTTTTTTTAATTTTTTTTATTCATTGCTCCCCAGATCTGAACTCAAGAGAGCAGGAGACTCTACAGTCCGTGCACGTCATTAATGTAGACATTCAGGATAACCACGAGGAAGCCACGCTGGGCGCCTTCCTCATCTGTGAGCTGTGTCAGTGTGTGAGTGTCTGCTACTGGGATTCTTTAACACAGGCAGAGTACAACCAAACATTGTGTTACAAAAGTTATCTATCACATTGTGGTTAGATAAATGCATATAGTCAATATGCGTTAACATCTATATGAAAGCAATATGAATAAAATGCTCTTTAAGTAGACATAATCTGCCGTTGGGTGTAGTTACAATATGGGTGATTCAGTGGTCACATAATGCTGCCAAAGCCACTATAAAGTGCTATATATTCAAAACGTGGTGTGTAGATTGATTTGATTTCATCTGCACGAATTAGTTGTGTGCGTTCAGGCTGTTTTTAACATGTTCCTCCTGCGCCCCTGCAGATCCAGCACACTGAGGACATGGAGGATGAAATGGATGAGCTCATTCAGGAGTTTGAAGAGAAGAGCAACAGGCCGTTTCTTCACACTGTCTGTTTCTACTGATACAAGATAGAGATTTGCAATAAACACAGACTGGGGATCACAAGCAATCAAACATTAGTTTACGGGACACACACACACACACACTTCTTACTCCTTGACCATCTACAGGAAAGTACATACATGTTGTGTGCCTACACAGCCACACTTGCACACACAGCTTTGGGTTAGGACCTAACAAATGGCTGCTGTTGGACATACTGGTGACGCGTGTGTCATGCAGAGGACAGACTCGCTGCTCTCTCTGCCTTTATTTCTCCGGATCAAGGTCTGCCCAAGGTCCTCCCTCCATCCCAGTTCAGTGAAATCACTCAACCATGTCTCCTCTGGGAGAGCCATAACACCCCCATCCCCGAGCCAACAACTGCTTTACCAGTCCCTCTTTGTTTTGTTAAGTTCAGCCTATTAATGCTGATTTTATTTTTCTCCAGATATTATAATTGTAATTCATTTAAGCATACAAGTCAGATTTTTATTCCTGACTTGGGACAGTGAAAGTGTGTTTCTTGGGGTCAGCAGGGAAATTAATTTAACTGAAAGTGTTCTTGTGCAACCATGTGTTGTAGATTAGTTTTTTAAGTTAAAGTGGGTGGGCTGATAATGAATGATCTAACCTAGACCTATCTGAGGCTCTCCCCTGGTGTTTTCAATATCTGCTCATTCATATTTAAACTTTGATATGCAGTTTTCAAAGCATAGTACTTTTTTCCTTTTGTAAATGTTTAAAAATTCAAGCATTGTAATTATTTGCAAATTGCGAGCTCAGCTCAGAGTGCCTGATTTTTCTGTATGTACATATGACTAAAGAAACATCTCTAAAAAAAACAACTGTCACGACTTTTTATTTTCTTTGTGATATTTCATGGTTAGGTGTAAACTTTTCTACCTGCTCAGGGAGTTTACACCAACTGCTGTGACTGCAGCCTATATACTTTATACTAAGCCACTCAAACCTGAAGGCTGCACTTCCCAAATTCCACCAGCATGTCTCCTGCCCCACGAGAGATTTTTTTAGATCACGTTTACACCAACATGGTGGACGCTAATAAAGCTCATTGTTCCCGCTCCCCAAATACACACATCTCATCACAAGTGTGAAACCCACTGTGAGGACAGTGTGGCCAGAGGAAGCAGACTGCACTACAGCTGTGGTTTGAACACACAGGCTGGCGTGTGTTTGCCACCGAGGCCACACAGACAACGCCTTTGCCTGCTCTGTTCTCTGGACTGTATACCGAAGGCACTGCTTTACGATCAGGTGATGCTCAGGCCTGCAGCGCATCCAGGGCTGACCTGAAAAGGGACATCAAAAAGGCCAAGCACAGCCACAAGCTTAAGATCGATGAGCGCTTCAAGAGCGGCTCTGACCCCCCCACGCAAATGGCAAGGCATCCTGGCCATCACTGACTACAAGCCATCCAATTCTACCCACCAAAGCAAGGACTAGGGACAACTCTCACCCCAACCATAGACTGCTGAACTCTATGCTGCACCAGACGATAGTCCCCCCCCCCTGCACCATTTGCACTCATGTCATTCATTTGCACCACCATGTCATTCATATTTACAACCTTGCTGCTTAATATTTATACTGCTCCATGTATATTTCTTACACTGTACATATTCTCTTATTTATACTCTGCACTTTATCAGCTCTCTTGGACTTTCTTATGTACTCTGTGCAATGACAATACAGTTGGATCTGATCTAATCTAATATTTTTACTTCCACTTTGTGGTGTTTACAACTCATTTCATTCATTACGACCCCCACCCCCCCTCCACACACACATCCATTACGTGTTACCTGTGATTGGTTGCCCCCCCCTCAGTGACAACCACCGGGAGCCCGGAGTCCCGTCACGTGTCTTTTGCAGAGGAATCCACACCGTCGGGTGGTGTTTTTCTCCCGGAGGAACCTTTCTGGCGGACATGAACGCGCTTTTTGACCGCTTCCACAACTTCATCCTCCCGATAGTGCGCGGGGAGGACGCGGTCTGCGGCTGCACCTGCGGAAGGTAAAACACCGTCCCGCCGCTCTGCATGATGCCTGCCTTTGTTTTGTGGTGAGAGAAGAACTTAAGGCTCGTATTCCATCAACTTTCTTCACTGATTCCCTCAAAAACAGACTCAATAAGTCCGAATTCATTCATTCGTGACCTCTCATCGTGCACGCGCCCCCGCTGTGTGTGACCAGGCGCACCTTTCTGTGACTTCAGGTGAAGTGTCAGGTTAAGAGATGAACTATCAGTCACGATTTTTACCACTAGGGAATTTTAAATTATTGCGGCTCCGGCTGTCCTCCTGTAATAACTAAAACAATCATAGAACACATGTAAAAATCTACATGATTACATATAAATTGTTACACAAACAGGGCTGCCATTTTCAATCCAGAAAATGTGACATTCTGAGAACTATTCTGTGTTCGACTGTGGATTTTTGTCTTTGCTGTGCTAATTCTCACCACTTGCCACGGCTCCGTCTGTTGCAGGCATCAAGTTTATCATGTTGTTCCATATAATGAGGCCATGGAGGATAACATGGTGAACTGGCAGGAGATGAACGTGGTAGTTGGACTGCTCTTGGGCCTCTGCAGCAGTTTATTCTTACAGTGCTTGCAGAGGATTTGGCACTCACGTGTCACATATTGGAGGTTAGACCAAATATACGGTGAGTGAAGTCAACTGAAGCTAAACGTCCATGTCTGTAAAAGCTTAGGCCCTCCTACTTTGCATTGATTTGACTGAATAAGTATTTCCCCCCAAGTGCAGACACAGAAACACACATTTCACCAGCCCAGCTTGCCTGTCTTTCATTCCAGGTGAGGCTTTCTGGTCGTGGATGCCCAAACTCAAAACAACAAAAGAGCTGGTGAGGAAGTTACATCCAAAACCCACGGAGGACTCCACGGGGAACATGCTGCACATCAATCAAGATGTGCAGCAGAATGTTAATGACACATGACGATGAAATGAGGAATAAAATGTTGTTTTTTAATAACTGAAATAGTCTTTGAAGGTTGGATTGATTACAATACTTTTAAATAATGTTTTGGTTGTTGTGTGCTTTAAAGAATGTCGTAAAGTTCAACCATAGATTTGTATTTACTTGTTAAAACTTGGCTCTTACCCACAATGCAACTTGGTCAGTTGGAAATTGTGCATTGTTGTGGCTGGCTGAAGAGGCTAATTCAGCCCCAACTAAGCGACATCACTTGAGGCATTTTATCAGATGTCTCATAGATCCCTCTTGAGCCACAAAAGGCTAAATTTAAAATAAATACAAAATTGTTTTCCCTTTAAGCAGTAAACACTAAAATAGATCCCCTCCACTGGATTACAATTTATTTTATTGATTAGCATTTCATCTTGCAAATATTTACAGTTAAATAAATCGTTTGGTTATGTATGAACATGAAGACATCATACAATGTCTTTATAATGGGGCTATTTAAAACCAAGGACAGCTCTATGCCCTTGACTTTGCAGAGGACGCTTCCTGAAGCCCTCAGCCATTACTGTGGAATATGGAAATCGCACACGACAGAATCAGCCTCATCCAATTATACGTCGTCTCTGCATGTACCTCTAATTATGTATTGTGCTAGAACCTCTTTTAAAACCATATACACATTATGGAGGTGCTTTCTAATGTTATTGCAAGGTCTGATCTCCAAATGAGCATTTTAATAAGGGTTGTACTAAATCAAGTTCATGCCACTGACTGTTCTAATGTGGCTTGATGGGAGAAAAAAAAAAATGAATTGTTATTCAACTCAAATCAAAGCCACAAGTTGTATAATATCAAGTAACATTATTCTAAAAACAACAGAACCTCTGCAGTTTACAAAAACACAAATCCATTTAATAATTTCCACAGACACACTGTGCACATCACGTATATTATTCTTATTGTAGACACAGTCTGTAAAGTACACTTTTACTATGTATATTTTATTAGAATCAAAGAGCCTCGGGCATTAGTGTTTTGTTGTTAATCGATTATCTGCCCTGACTGCTGAACTCATCCTGTCAAAGATAAGATAAACTACAGACGACTTAAAGGGGCAGAACACTAATCCTTCTAATCCAGGCCACTCGGCATCCACAGCTTAAACTGGAGTTCCATCCTTAGGAGGAGGAGATCCGGTTTTGTCTTCCTTCTTCGCCTCCACTTTGGCCGCCTCGTCACAGTCCTTTCCTACCGGGGGGGCGCTTTGGCCATCTGCCGGCTGGGCGTTGATGTCCGACGGAGGCGGTACACTTCCACCTTCTTGTTCCTCTTTCACCTCGAGGAACGGGGCGATGACGTCCTGGGCCTCCGATGCCTCACCGAGCGGCAGATTGAAGCCCATCTTGCCCCCCCCGGCTGTCGCTCCAGCTGGGGGAAGAGTAAAGGCCTTGGCCTGCGGCTCCTCGTCTCCATGCAGCCAGTCCATCTTCTGAAGGTGTTGCTTGACTGCGTCACCCACTCGAGCGTCAATCATAGCCTCTGTCAGGACGCCATCTTCAGAGGAATAGGCTGCCGCCTGGGAGAGAAAGACAGTCAATACATGTCTTTTATACATTGAGTCACACGGAGCCTTTTTGAGCCTCATTTTTATATTATGATGGATGGTGTTTTTTTTCTTCTTTTCTTTTTACAACTGTGGATTCCAAATGGAGCATACCTGCCAGGCCACGCCCAGTTTAGAGATCTCTCTTCCGGACATGCCTTCTGTCCGCTTCGCTATGTCGGAGCACTTTTGACCATAGTCAAACTGTGCCAGCTTCATCCGCCTGCACAAAAACACACAAACCGATAGATTAGCTGGTCTGAATGCATGGAGTTGAGTTTTTGGAGTTGGGTCCATTGCGTGTCGAGACAGTTTTCCACTCCTCAAAAAAACCACACAAGTGTGTGTGTTTGAAGTGGACTAAATCGCATTACTTGTTTCAGTATACATCCCTAGTGGCGAGTGACTCGGTGCCTTATTATAACCAGCCGTGTGTCCTGTAGGGTTGTACTCACTGCCTCCCTCCTGTGGCAGGCTGCAGGACATATTTGTCAAAGTACAACCGCACCAGCCTCTCCCGCTCATCGGGGCCTGGCAGAGCAAAATTTACTATTTCGTCAATGCGGTCGTTTATGGCCCAGTCAAACTGCTCTGGTTGGTTACTGGCCAACACCAGCATGAACCTGCCGGAGAAACACAGAAATCAAGCAGCTTAGAGACATAGTCACGGTTGTATAGGCGAGGTATAATGAGGTTACGGTTTAATTGGTGCTGATGTAATTAAACTCTTACTTGCTGCTCTGCTCTCCAGTACGATACAGGAATGCATTCAAAGTGGATCGAAGGTCCTCACTGATCTTCTCCTACAAAACCACAGGAGCAAAGACAACATGTCAAGAGGAATTTGAAATGGTGGGAAAATGTGTTTCACAAAACTATGGTTTCCAGAGAATGAAATACATGCAGACTTACAGTGGATCTCTTGCGAAGGAATGCGTCGGCTTCATCAACAAAAAGAAGAAGTCTGTAACAGCATAAAAACACACAATAGTCTTTATCTGCTGATATTAAAAATCTCAACAGCATCACGGTTTGTATATTTGTGAATTGATATCAAGTAGCCCACCCGCGCCGACTTGTACCGGCCCAGTCAAACACTTTGTGCATAGCGGTCACACCATCGCGGCCCATGGGTGCCACGTCACCACCAGTCATGATCGCATAGTCCATCCCAGAATGCACCGCCAGCTTCTACTCGATGCAAAAACAAATGCCTCTCTGTTGGTAAATCTATCCATTTCTGTCAATGTTTGCGTCAGATGCTCAGTCCCGAGGTAATACCTTAGCGAAGAGCGTTTTGCCCGTTCCTGGAGGGCCGTACATGAGGATATTCCTGTAGAGGCCGTTGTTCTGCCTCGTGTTCCTTGTTGCTATGGCGATATCGCGTACACGCTCTTCCAGGGAAGGCTAGGAGACAGAAATACGAATTCATTTATGAAGTGATTGTAAGCTTCATCCTTTGTGAAGACTTGAATGTCCACTTACACTGAGCACGACTCCCTCGAGGGCATCCTGAGGTTTGCTCTTCAGCCGTTTGGCCGTCTAAAGGGTTCACCAACAAAAAAAAGGATAATCGGCATGTCAGAATCTCCATTCACACAGATTAAGCAGAAAGGGTCAGTTGCTGATCCGTTACCTTCACTGGATGCTTGATTGCCTCCGCGACGGTGAACCGCGACGTTTCCCGCACCAGAGACGGCTTCCCGAGTCTCGCCTCTATGTAACGTCCCGCCACGGCTGTGGCATTTCGGGCGGAATAAACTCCCACAGCCAAAAGGGTCAGTCCTGCCACCTGGTGAAAGAGTTACACGACAAACCCCACAGTTTACTGATCCAAGTCAGCCTTCAGGTTTGCCCTCACCAGTACTACACCAGGTGGAATAGTAGCAGGTAAATACTTCTTTTTTACCTAATTGACTTTTACTCTTTTTTTTTTTTTATTCACTTAATTGATGATGGAATAGAAGCCTCACCGTGGCCGTCACTTTGTCCCAGTCCGACACAAAGGCCCGGAATCCTTCTCCAAACACAGCACCTGCAGTCCTAAGAGCAAACGTACGTCAGCTGTCAGGCCGGATGCCTTTTGGCCATTTACAAGACGCAACTGTCAAAAAAAGCATTTACTTAAACAGAAATGATAACTAACGATATGAAGAGATAGAACTTATTTATCACGAGCGAAAAAAGCTGTTGTAATAAAAGGTAAAAAGGTAATTGCACGAAGACCCATTAATACATTTGATCTAATCCTCAAAATCCTGAAAACTATTGCGCAATATGTCAGCGCGTCTCACTTTATGGACTCCAGCACCGTCTGTCTGTGTTCTGCGGCCTTCAGACGGATCTGCTCGCGGATTATATCGGCGTTCTCTCGCTCGACGCGGGCCCGTGCTTTGGTCTCGGCCTCGATGCGCAGCAGCTCGTTCTTGTGCCTCAGCCCCATCTCGTGCTCTATCGTTGCTGTTAAACCACGAAACATGAACAACGTCGACCACTTGCTCAACATCTTGAAAATCATCTACGAGACCCGACGGTGGCGAAATTGGGCACCTTTCCGCATGGCCTCCTGTTTATGTACAGACTCCTCCTGTTTGCGCAGGTTGTCCTCGTTCAGCGCTTGCTAAGGAAAGAAAGGGTTAAAATAATGTTGGTGATGCATCTCATTTCTTCCGCAGTTTATACTCTGCACTTGGAGATGACCTCACCTGTTGCCTTAGTTGTTCCTCATATCGCTGTCTGGCCAGCTTATCTTGGTACTGGGCTCTCTGTAAGGACCCGCATACAACCAGTTGTAACCGTACAGCTCAAAATGTTTCATTGCTGCAGCATAATTATGGTTGTTCTTAAAACACGGAGAAGGAAAAAGCTTCTCTGTTCTCACCGCCTGATGCTGCTTGGTCTCCTCGTTGACAGTTTTCCTCCTCTCCTCTCCTTGGATTCGTATCTGATCGCCTTTGAGCTGCTCAACTGCTGCTTCATATTCCTGAATGAATGAAAAAAACAGATTATTTGATTGCAATGGATTTACAAATCGATTCGTTAATGGAAACTACGGCAGAATGTGCTTAATTCTCGGAAAAGGCACAGATGCCCTGCAGCAGATTTAGTACGGACGTTGGTGAAATGGTGGAACGAGCTCTCTGAAGACACCAGGACCGCAGAGAGCCTTCACATCTTCCGCCGCAAACTAAAGACACACCTCTTCAGACTCTACCTCGACTATAAGACAAATTGTAGCACTTAAATTGTACTTAATGTACTCATCTATAGCAAATTGTAAATCGGCTTATTTCTTGTTTCTTGTTCTTCTTGAATGCACTTATTGTAAGTCGCTTTGGACAAAAGCGTCAGCTAAATGACATGTAATGTAATGTTAGAACTTTACCTTAATTTTGCTCTGATGCTCCATCTGAGTGCTCTGCTCCTGCATTCGTGACAGCTCCAGCGCCTCTTTGGCATGTCCTGCATAGAGATGAGAGGCAACGGCACAAAACTGATTTAGGTGATCGATGGAACATGATGGTCTGACTCTGAATCATGAATCTCTTTCTACCTCATACTGAGACACGAGACATGTTTATATGAGGAACACAGAACCAGAGAGAAATCGTTTTGCGGATCACTGCGTGTGATGTGGAACAAGTGGATTTTTGGACTCTGAAGGCCAGCTGGTGACTTTTGAACCCACAGTAGTAAGTAGTCTGAATGAAGGTCAGAGCAGCACAGCATCGACCTCAAAAGGCAACCAGCAGCTACGCCAATTAAGACGTATGAATCCAGATTCCGGCTGCGAAGTGGGGGGCCTCATTATTTTCAGCTGCAACATCAGTGAAGGGACGACCACCACCACCCAAAGCCAGAGAGGAGCTGCATGCTGGAGCAGCATGACTCTCAGTGCTGTTGTGACCAGGAGGAACCTCGTTGGAGCCAGCGGGCTCTGCACAACACTCACGGGACTTGTCGAGCTCCTTGGCCGCATGAGCAGCTCGCTCCAGCCCGGTGGGATCGAAGTTGCTCCATTTGTCCTTGGGTCTATCTCCTCCGCCACTGGAGCCTCCGGACGGCGGAGGAGGTGGAGGCGGAACCGGGAGACCAGGAGGCACCTCCGGCTGCGCCTTGTTCAGACCGAACAGCCACGACATTTTAACGCGGATAAATAAAAGCGAAGTTTAGCCGGTTCCGTGGAGCTGCCGCAGAGCTGTCACTGCACTTCCTCCACACGCGTGTCACGCCGCGACCTACTGCGCAGGCGCGACGGAGGGAGCGGATTCGTTTGAATAACTGCAACGGCGATTGGCCGGTAGCGAGTACTCCGTCTCCTCATTGGCTGTTCGAACGACTGTCTCCAACAGAGGTCACGGATGTAGTCCAGTCCAGACTCGATACGGTAGCCGCGGAGGGTCATGATGCGTTCTAACCAGAAGGACCTTTACTTTTCTCTTGGTTGCATCAGACGGATTTAGTTTGTATGTTATAGGTCATGGACATTGGGTTGAGGTTTGCTTTATACTTGAGCTTTTCTTAGGAGTAAATGTTAGAAATGGTAGAATGTAAATATGACTTGTTTCATTGAATAAAGAAAATGTTGTAAAACATTTAGATTAAGTGCATAGTGTGTACGATACATAACATGTTTGAATAGAATCAAGACAGGGAGAAATATATATATCAAAATGTTTAATGAACTAAACATTAAGAGGATAACCACACCACAACAACTTGTCAATCATATATTTACAGAGACACAACACATTAAGTGACAAAGCTTGAGGTCAGTATTCTGCCTCTCCTTCCGAAAACTGCAACAAACCATAACCTCACAAAAAGTAGCATATGCAAAGGACTAGGTTTGTGTAAATTGATAACAAATCCTGTATTAGTATACTGGAGGTATTTTCTAGGCAACAATACAGTCAGGACCGCCTGGCACATGGAAATCTGTGACTGGAGCAGAAGCAGGGTTGTCTGTGGACATACTATTGCTATTCTTTTTACTGCCAAATGCCATCTTGGATTATAATTACATTCTCATTATAACATAAAAGTAGATAATTCCTAAGATATCATCTAATTGACTCTGAACATCATTTGCAATGGGTCCTGAAAATAATTTACTACTATATTTAAGAGTTGTGCATTATCAAGTGTTAGTTGAAGGCAACGGCACGTACATTTGTCAAATCTCTTTTCAGGGACGCAATGCTTTTTGAGAACACGATAGCAGCATGAGTTCCATGTACCACAGTGAGTGGAGAAGCTATACATCAAAAAGCTCAGGGATCAAGGAACAGTTATCATCCACCCTACAAGAGTGTCCTTGAGCAAGATAGCGCATCCCTTTCTTCTTCAGGAACATTGCTCTGTTGGCAACTCTGCTTCAAATATCCCTAACGAGGATATGTGTGGATAACCATGTGAGACTCCCATGTTGACTTGTAATATACACAGCACAGGCAGAAACACAGATCTGGAAGTGGAGAACGTCAGTGTTCCTCATCGGTCTCATCATGTGACGTACCCCGGGTCATTTACGTGGGTTGTTAAACATGCAGCCCTTATAGTATAGTGACATTACATAAAAAAGGACAGCTGTAAATCAAGGATGCGAGTGTGTGTGCCTGAATGACACATTTCATAAACAGCTCCAACACCAGCATTATTTTAAACGACATAACAACTGGATATCTGTAGCAAGTCCTTTACTGCAGCAAAACAACCCGAGAGAAGACACCAGAAGGCTCTTTGCCGTCTCCCAACGCTGCACGAAAGCCTTCCTGTTGGCGAGCCCGCGCCAGCTTTGCAAGCGAGAGGAATGACCGAGGTTCTGTGACGGCTAGATCACTGATGACACGTCGGTTGAGCTGGACGCTTGTCTGTATTGAGGATATAAAATCACATATAGTGAACAACCATCATAGGGAACAGAGGCGGTATTGGTGCATATAGTGCAAAATTCTGCAACACTAACCTTGGTGAGGTTGTGCACAAGGGCGGGATACTTCATGCCGTGCTCTCGAGATGCTGCTGCAATGCGTGTGATCCAGAGCTGAAGAAACAAAAGCAATTACTTCAATTACTTTGTTCTTTGCAAAAAGTTAACATGCCCATTCTGTATCCCGGAAATACACATTCCTGCAGCTGGGATTGGAAGGACAACTAGCTTTTCACAAGGGATGGAACAGACGAATCCCCTCTAGTGGTTCCCAAACCTTTTGACCCCTTAAAAATGAAAACATGTCTACCTGCCATCTAATAAAACAATGGGAAGAGTGAACATGTAAAATACAAAAATAAATTAAAAAAAACATCCAATTGTATTACAAATTAAATCACAAGCGCCCGCGGTGTGTCCGTTGACGTTTGTATTTCACGAGTCTCACCGTCCTCATGTTGCGCTTCTTGAGCCTGCGGGCCGACGTGGCGTAGACGAAAGCTCTCCGCACCGCGCGCACAGCCAGACTGTAGCAGCGGTTCTTTCTGCCTCGGAAGTGCTGCGTAAGAATCACACTTTATCAGCTTCAAAAGCAGAGAAGAAAACGGAGGCAAAAAAGCATTGTTCATGTCTACACAGCCTGGAGACACTAAATGAGTTCAATAGTCCAACAAAAAAAAAGATTCAGATTGAATTACCAGATTACGACAAGGTACAAATCGCAACAGTTTGACAGCTAACCACTTTCAGGAAATAGCCATGCCCTTACCCGTGCATGTTTGAGAATTTCTTGGTGTTTCCAATATCCGTCTGGTCCACGGCTCCTGATCCAACAAGACAGCGTCAGGAACACCATGTCTGTTCTTTAGATAAACTACTTCAAAACGATATCCTTCCTAAAAGAGTGCGGAGACTATTGAAGTGACCTTAACCAAGCTCAACTAGTAAAGAGACTGTTAGTGAGCAGCATTTCACGTGCTGATTTAGAACTAACAGGTTCGTTTGATTTTAGACCCGCAGCATCTTGAGTAGGTGGGTTCTCCGCTGCACCCGGTTTTGATTAAATAAATTCGCCTAGAATAAGCCGGTGTCGCAATTAAAAAACTAATTCAACTTTGCTATACATACAAATAATTAATGGAGGAGGGTAACGTACAAAATTGCCCCCAGTAAGTCAAAAGAATTATCAAAATCACGCCCTTCTCGAGTATTTGTGAGTCTCAAGGCGGTAGACGTCGGTCAACAAAACACGCGCTTCCCCAGCGTTGTGACGCGACCGCGGTGGCTTCTGGGATAGCAGGTGGCTGAGGTCAGAGAAACTCCAAAATGTCGGTCGCTGGTCTCTCGTCCTTGAGCCGCTGTGGTGTTATGGCGTTCCGCTCCCCTGCAGGATTGGTGGTATGTCAAAAAATCGTCTGAGTAAATTGCCGTCGTTGTCAGTTACGGCTTCTGCCATCTCTCTGCTCAGAGAACGTCACATCAAAGCTAACATCACACTACGTTCCCCACTGACGGGAGATGGCTCTGTCTATGCAATGAAGTCCATGCTACGTAGCAGCTAATAGCTAGCGTTAGCTAGTCCGTACTTTTAACTGTCTAGATAAACCTACTCAACAATAACCTATCGTGTTAATTTATTCTTTATTAGCTGGTGTATGTTCATCTTCAAGTGTCCCTTTGGATGATTCAAATCCGCGTTAATGCCAAACATGGCACAATACAAGTTAAGCATGTAAACATTGTTCAGCTAACTTAACGTTAAGTTTGTTCTAGCAACGCCAACTTTGTATAAGCTAACGTTACGTTTGACTTACTAAATACCTGTTGACCCACTGATATTTAGAGGAGAAGAGTAAACGTATTTAAAGGTGACGTTATTTAGTACGAAAGCCAAAGTAATCCCGTTTCCCGTCAGGCGGTCCGCTTCGCCCAAACAGCCGCGGCTCCAGCAGCTCAACCCCGAGTGAAGAAGTTCCAGATATACAGATGGGACCCGGACACTCCAGGAGACAAACCCCGCATGCAGACCTACGACATCGACCTGAACGCGTAGGTATTCCAGTGTTCCCCCTGACACAAGGTGTCCTGGTATGTTCGGTCCTAATCACAGGTGTGGAGCTGAATTCTTTATTGGGGTGTATTATTGTTCTATTGGCTATTTCTTAAACACCTGAAGAGGTTGAGGTTAAAAATAATTGACACTCCCATGAACGGGAGTTATCTGTGACCTTTGTGTATAGTATTTTAACTTTTTATCGGTGAGCGGTGTGGTGGAGAGAACTGATTACTCTCTGAACAAAAGCCTGCGTATCTCTTAATGTATGCGTGTAAACCACGAGCATGATTACAAACTGACAACAGCCTTCAGTTAGATTCAGCTCAGGTGACTCACAGCCCGGCATGTTTCCAGTTCTCTTCTTAATCAGCTTATGTGTATTCTCACAAGCTGTCAATACAAAGCTGCAACCACAAGAGTCCAAACATCAAAATTACTCTCAAAGAAAATATTTTCGTTTTCCTCCTTGTAGCTGTGGCCCAATGGTTCTTGATGCCCTGATCAAGATAAAAAATGAGATGGACCCCACTCTGACCTTCCGCCGCTCTTGCAGAGAAGGTTAGTAATACGTGTTTAAGCTTTACAAATGCGCCTTTAGATAAAATGATAAGTAGTCAATTAAGGGAATAGAATCCACTTGTGTGCCTGCTTATAGTAAGAGTTATGTGGTTGTTTAGGAACATAAAGGCTTGTTTGTTTAAGGTTATGTACCAAGTTTTCTCTGTAGGTTTTATGTTGTTTTTTGTCTACTTATGTGATTAATTGTTCATGCGACCATTTGAAAGATAATGCAGTACAACCTTCCCTCTTTTTCCAAAGTGATGATTTACTAGTCACAGAAACTACATTGGAAGCTAATACTATTTTACTTTTCTTTTTTACGCAGGTATTTGTGGATCCTGTGCAATGAACATTAATGGAGGAAACACGCTTGCATGCCTTGACAAGATTGACACCAACGTTAGCAAGCCAACTAAGATTTACCCTCTACCACACATGTATGTGGTCAAGGACCTGGTGCCTGTGAGTAAATATCCAACACGCCATGAAATTTTGGACCAGCCCTCACTGATGGCAGATTTTACTCCTAATAACTCCTACTCCTAATAGCTTATTACAAAGATGTATTCTGAGACTTGAATTCTGACTGATTCCTTGATTGTACAATTTTTTGCAGGACATGAGTAACTTCTATGCTCAGTATAAGTCTATTGAGCCCTACCTGAAGAAGAAGGATGACTCTAAGGAAGGGAAGGAGCAGTACCTGCAGACTGTGGAGGACAGACAGAAACTGGTACAGCACTGTTTTTATATTGGGACAACATTTTCCAATGCTTTCAAAAGCGAGAATAAATAGCAACTCTGGCTTTCCTCCTACGTAGGACGGTCTGTACGAGTGCATCCTGTGTGCCTGCTGCAGTACGAGCTGTCCAAGCTACTGGTGGAACGGAGACAAATACCTCGGGCCAGCTGTGCTGATGCAGGTGTGTGTCTGCGCGCATAAACATTTAGGAAGTCTGCATGAAGAAACAAGCGCCGCGGATGAAGCGTTTATGGGTCGTGTCCTGTTGTCCTACAGGCATATCGTTGGATGATCGACTCACGAGACGAATTCACAGAGGAACGCCTGTCCAAGCTGCAGGATCCTTTCTCCCTTTACCGCTGCCACACCATCATGAACTGCACCAAGACCTGTCCCAAGGTAACCTGCTGGCACACATCTGCAGCAGCCAAATGCATGCCACGGCTCATGTACATCTTGTGATCTCTCGTTCTGTTCGTGAGAGTGCAGCTAACCCCCCGTCTGCTCCTCCTCCTCTTAGGGCCTGAACCCAGGGAAAGCGATAGCTGAGATCAAGAAGATGATGGCCACGTACAAGGAGAATAAGGCTGCTGCTGTGGTCTGAAACCTCAGTCGTCCTTTTGTACAACACTTCCCTCCATGATGATATTATAAATTGATATGTAAAAATGCTTTTTGAGGTCTGAAGGACGGTGCACCGGTCACCACACACTACAGTCAACTGTAATTAAAATGTGTGTGTGGTTCAAGGACTTGGTGTCCACATAAACGCACATGTACAATATGAATGCATGAGAGAGCGAGTGTGTGTGTATGTCTGTGTCTTACATGTACCATAAAGAGAGATTTATCTTGAATGCCGCTGTGTCTATTCGTGCGATCAGAAAACGCAATGCTGCATATTCAAGTTAAAAAGAGTTTTCTTGTTTGTAAACATTTAAGCACTTCCGATCTTCCAGCATACAAACAGCAGTCTTGGTTTTGATTAAAAATAAATAAATTAATGCATCTAGCTGCTTTCTTTGGTTATTATTTGATGTCACTAATTTTACCACACACCAGTGGTTAGAACCTGGTGTCCCATAGATGTCTCCATTGTGCAGTTTTATTTTATGTACAAAGGCACATATCTTGTAGATAGTAATGTCTTAACAGGCCGTACGTCCCCCTTGACCTCTCAAAGCCCGTTATCTAAAGCCCACAAATAGAGAAACTCATAATTTTTTTTCATGTTTTTTAGGAAAGTGAAGACCATTTTCCATCTGTACCTCTATCATATCTGAAAACTGTTTAATTGATATTTATCTGCAGAAATATTAAAAAACGTCAACTGAAATGTTTTATTTCATCAATGAAGACGCAAATACTGAAAAATGATCACAGTATAGAAACTAAATCATTTTCAATGACAATACAACCAAATATAAGTTCTTATACATTCTGTTGTCAGGCTGCTTCATTTAGATCAGCTCACATAGATCACGTGGTCACGTAGCAACGGTGATCACAGCGATTCGGCCCCTCGATCCTCAGCACCAGGCGGGCAGCGGGTCTCGGGATCAGCCCGATGTGGTTTGCGGGTCGGTGCTGGGATGGGGGGTGAGGGTGGGGGGGTCTGGAGGCTGGGACTGGACGGGGAGGAGACTGCTGCTGCGGGGTGGTGCAATGAGGGGCTGCGAGGTCCTCCTGCACTCACAGGACGCATGAGAGCCGAGCAAAGCCGGAGCGAACCGAAGCAAAGTTGGGTAAGAAACTTTGTGAGGGAAGAAAACTGTCTGGTTTGTTTGCATTTCTCGTTAAGTTGAACCTCCTTTTTCTTTGTATTTCATGCATGTATTTTGGCCCTGATTCTTCATAAGACAACACTTGAGCTGCATTTGTGCAGATACTTCACGGGAGGGAAAAATAGAGGGATGTGCACGGATTGCATGCAGCTATTAAACCCAGTACAGGACCACGGACACATCTGCTCAGTCCGCACTGTGCACACCGAATAACTGTGCGATTACTCGTATGTATGTTAATGGCTGTTGAGAGCTGACATGTGGTCCTGTGTTTTCACTGGAGAGGAGAAGGAGGAGGGAGATCACGGCTCAGCCTGCAGCACTACAATGGAGAGAGAGGTGCCAAGAGGGGAAATAATAAAAAAAACAGGGGCTTCTAGAGTCTGGGGGTCGATGAGGGCACGTGGGAAGATGATCTTAGATGTATTGCTTCTATATTTGTGGTAGTTGCATGAAAACAATATTCGTAAAACAGATGACAGCAGTTCATCTCCTTTTGCTGTCCTCGGAAACTCCTACTAGTGTGTGTGTGTGTGTGTGTGTGTGTGTGTGTGTGTGTGTGTGTGTGTGTGCGTGTGTGTAAGTGGGGGGAGAAAGGGTCTGTAGCTGCGAAGGGAGGGCAAGGACTCAATGGAGGGAAGGGGGGCAGGAGGGGGTTGAGGGGGGTAATTGCTCCCAGATGTGTGTGCAGTGAAAACATATGCTTTCCGATAGCCACTGTGATGCACAAAAAGAATGTAGGTTTGTGTGTGTGTGTGTGTGTGTGATGCTTGTGCACAAACATATACACACGTTCACTGATTTATTGATACACACGCAGACGATGGATCACGTTTTGGGTCCATTGTTGTATGAAACAGCCTTCAGTGCTGCAGCGGAGGAGGAGCACTCATACTTTCCACAAAGTGGAAAAGTATTTTAGTGCGTGTTACGGGAAGCTACGGTAATAGTTTTCACAATGTGATCTCCTTTTACCACCAATTTAAGTCAAAGTAATAGTCAGGCATGCCTGTTGCTGTCATTGTTCATGATTTTCTGTCCATATATCACTTTCACTCAACGGGAGAAGGGCCTCGCTCTGTGTAAGGAAGAAAAAAGGGGTAAAGCGTAGAAGAGAGGGGGGGGAACGACCAGTGAGGGCGACAGAAGGGAGACGAAGGATGTGGAGGCAGACAGAGAGCGGGAGGGAGGGAGGAGGAAAAGTCCGGGAGAAAGGGTGGGGTTGAGGGGTCCTTCGTTTCTTTTCCTGGAATTCAGCCCCGAGAGTGTCTGCTGCAGCGAGGAAAAGTAGGAAAACAGAGGCATTGTTCTACAGAAGACGTGCCACATTCTTCCCGTCAGCCTTCTCCCCCTTTTCTTGCTGTGGCTGTTTGAAGCCAATGGAGGAGGGGGGGCAAGGAGGGCAAGGAGATTGAAGCGCAATGGGGGGGTTCCAAAGGTGAGGGAGGGCAGGGGCAAAGAGAGGAGAGGGGAGTTCAGGAGACCAGAGGAAAATCCAGCACTTTGTTCCCCCCATGTTGCTCTGTTTTCAACGTCTATGCTCTCGTCCCGTCCCCCTCCAGTGTCCCAGTCAGTCTACCTCCGAGAGTGACCATGAGAGTCCTCTTACTCATCTGTATGCCAGGTAACTGCACCAACGCTCCACTGAACACTTGGGCCTGAATCTCAGCTGTAAACAGGAATTACTAGATGTTGGAAGAATCCAAGTCTCATTTGGGGAAATTGCTTTCAGGCACTTAAACTGACTTTCTGGCCCAGAGTAAGATGAAATGATAGTGAAGTCACAGCCAGCTGCCTAGTTTAGCATAAAGACTGGAAACAGTCGCTGGCATTATGGCCTCTTGTACAGATGTCACACTACGTGAGCGTGTTTCATGGACCAGGCCGTTGCCAGGATCTTTTAGAATTAAAGGTTGCACCATACTTGTTATACTAACAATTAATAAAACACTGAGGCTCAATTCAATAAGCTTATGTAACTTTTGCTCACTGTGCCTGGAGGTGGCAGCTACAGGAAAATGTAAATGTTACACAAGTTGATATAACATTTTGGGGGAAAAGTTGTATTAAGAAAACACCTGAAAAAAGTGAATAATACAGTTAGCCACTTACAGTATTCATAGCACTTGTAGTTTCTCACTTACGTACTTTATTCTTGTGAAATGTCCACAGTTGTGCTGCTCGCCCAGGCTCAGTACCAGGAACAGTTTCCCTTTTTGGGTGAGTTCATTAAGGATGCAGAGCCCTGAGCATCTGTTACAGATTTCTTGTTGTTCTCCGATGTGTCACCTCGCCTCGAGGAGTTCTCTCCTCCTTATTTGAAATTTACCACCCGCAGAGCAGCTGTTGTGTACATAGCACTTTGACCACGCAACATGTTATTATTTTTAAACATCTTGCAAATGAAGTCATGCATTACCCCACAAAGTCTGCCTGTTTAGTTCAGTTGTGGCATGCAGGTGGTTTATTTTAAGTCGTGCAGAGCTATTTGTTGTGTGTGTGTGTGTGTTTGAGGAGGACTGATTGTAAATGGTTTCACAATGTGTATTATATGAAACTGTTTTCCCTCCTGCTTGTTTCATGGCTTCACAGATGACTATGATTCGGAATATTTTCCAGGTAAAGGATCTTTAAGTCAACAGAAATATTTATCAATATGACTTTTATTGTTAAAGTACTCCCAGTGTTTTTTAACGGATTCCACTCCTTGTTGTCAAAATTCAGGAAATCCAGATTCTCCTCCCGATACCTTCCAGCAGCAGGTTCGCCCCGAGACAGTGGTCCGTCCAGACACATCCGGTATGACTCCTGCCTGAGTTACGCTATATAAGAGTCGTCCCTACTGTGTCTAGAACTCATTTGTAAATCTGTTTTCCAGGGTCCAATTTGGAGACCGAGCCAACCGAGCCTGGCCCTCTTGGTGAGAAAAGCACAGCGAACGAATGACGGATCGTCAGTCGTTTACTGTGTGCAGACATCATTTTGATTGTGTGTTTGATTTCCAGATTGCAGAGAGGAGCAGTATCCCTGCACCCGACTCTACTCTGTTCACAAGCCATGCAAGCAGTGCCTGAACAGCCTCTGCTTCTACAGGTACGTACCAAAATGACAACAGTAAGGTAGAAATGACCACAATGGAGCTGTACAGAGGGATCAGACAAATCACGCTTCATATACAGAGACAACGCCGCAGGTTTTGATCTTTACATTGGATGCGTTGGCATCAAGAACAATTACAGATTATTGCTCAGTTCCGTTTGGACTGATGAGACTAATGCCAGTGAGGACGATGACTCTCTCGTGACCTCTACATGTGTTTTCCGCTAAGTTTGCGACGGGTGTACGTCATCAACAAGGAGATTTGCGTGAGGACGGTGTGCGCACACGAAGAGCTGCTAAGAGGTGCGTTCAGTGTATTTCTGCATTTGATTTATTTGTTTTTTTGTGCTCGTCTGCATATGAAGACGATCTTAACTCGGTTAACTCTGTGTTTAGCGGACCTGTGCCGCGATCAGTTCTCTCGCTGCGGTGTGGCGGCGCTGAGTGGCCAGTGTGCATCAATAGGAGGGAGCTGCGGGAAGAGCTGCGGTGGCTGCTGATTGAGGAGAGAGTTCAGGGACACTACCTGCCCAGACACTTCCGCCGGCATCCTCCTGATCTGTCCTCGTTCCCAAAAACAATCTCCTCACCTGGCCTTTTGACTCCTCTTGTGCAACTTATGTGTCTTATCTAAAAATATCTTTTTCTTTTGTGTGTGTCTATCCTGTAGATCCAATGTGTGCGGATGACTTATCTCCAAAAGAACATTGATGATTGTAAAAATCACTGGTGCTATAAAATCCTCCCACTGGTGCAACAAAAAACTGTTAGAGAGGCACATAAAACTGCAGAACATCTTTTTGTTGTTGTTTTAAGCATATTGTATCGTATTAATCTCATGCTTTGTGTTTGTTTATTTGTTACTGTACTTGTGTTAAAGAGCAATCATTCTCATGATAATCAAGGCATCAATGGCGGCCACTGAGCCCTGACACCAGCTAATCAATATCAGCCATAATGGAACATGAGATGCGTCAAGAAACAGGTGGTGAGTGATCTTTGTGTTTGTATTACCCCACCTGGATCTGTGCTTAGCAACCAAGCAGCAAGCTTATACACACATTATATAGATGTATATCTATATATAGATGTATATCTATATATAGATACACACACACACACACTGTAGTACTCTGTACTGTATATATGTATTCCAGTGGCAGCAAGTGCTTTAAAAAGGCTTCTCACAGATGGCCTCTGTACTACTGCTTTGTAAAACTGTCACTATAAAGACTGAGAAAAATAAATAAAACTTTTTTTTTTTACTACTATCAGTGTGTGATTGAGTGAAAACGTGCAGCTCGGTGTGCTGAAAGGTGTTTATGAAATACAAGGTGTTTGGTGCACACACTGGCTTTATTCTCTTGCAGACATGTGGCTTCGTGTGTTTTGTTCTAACACTAACATTTTCAGTTATAAAGCTGTCTATATAACACATAATTAGCTAAATCTGTGAGAAAATACAACTTCTTCATTATGTTAAATTCATCTGATCCCAGGGACTCGCACACAGTGAAGTCGGGCCTTTCCTTCTCTTAGTGTCCTCAACTGTTAACATCAACGTAAAGCATTCAAGGCCGAACTGCAAAACTGGGAATAGTTCATTCTTGCACAACATCCTGGTTGTGTCTGTTGGAGAAAGTGATTCTGGTTTTCTTCTTGAATACGGCAGGAAGTCATGGAAGACGTTGAGCACGGATCGAGTGCAGATGGTTGCCAGTAATCAGCCGGCTGCTGGCGGGTTTTTTTGCACAGCTGCTTAAATCCCGTCGCTCCATTAGCTCACCATGTCATGAGAACGACAGTTTAGTGGTGTTTAACAAAAAATGTAAACACTTGTTGGACTATAAAAGGAATATTGCTTTCAGATATTCATGACGAGTGGATTTTCACTCGATCAGAATTGAGGTTTTAATAAGCTGCATCTCACTTTCCTGCTGACAGTAAGGAGGACGGGAGGGACGGTTGCCGCCTTTTCATTTCCTGTTGCAGCTGCTCCTTTAGGGTGGACACCTGCAGCGATACAGTGGGGGGACAATTTTATTACACTCTGAACCAGCTCATTCACCTCCTTCATCCGAGGAGGAATTCTGCCAACCCAAATCGACGCCCTGCGATCCGTGCGCGTACCTGCTCCTCCAGCCCTTTGACTCTGTGTCGGTGAGCTCGCTCTCTGGTCCCCAGCGTTCGCTCCGCGTCCCTCAAGCCGGCCTTCAGTCTCTCCGCCTCCCGCTGGGCGTCGTCCCGCTGCCTCGCCAGACTCTCACACAGGCCGTGCGACTGCTCCGTCTCGGCCAGCTGAGTCTACTCAAAAACACGCAGGGACGGTGGTACAAACACGCGCACAAAAGGCACACAGGGCGGCAAATCTCAGTGCAGTTTGTGTAGAAAACCTCTAAAACAGTTGAGAGACTTTGGTTCAGTTCCCCCCCCCCTGCCCCCCCAGCTAACTACCATGTTGAACGCGCTCTGGTGACCTGCAGCTCTGGAGACCTGCAGCTCTGGAAGACCTGGAAAACCGTACTTTTGTTTCCTGGAAATGCACTTAAACAGGCGTTTTCTGGAGGAATGTACATGAAGCTCCAGTTCAGGGGTTTCAAATTTCATTTTGTTTACACAATGAATCGATTACTTCGCACACTGACATATGTGACTCCTTTAGCGAGTGTCAATGAGGTATTCACAAATATAGCAATGGGGTTCTTTAATTTCTTTACTTTTTTGGCGTAGACAAATGCATGAGGGTTTGTGAATTACTGCTTTAGTCGATAAACACTTCTACGTCCTGGAAAAGGTTTGACTAAATCGGGAGAAATTACCCTTTGTCTGAATTATAAAACCAGCCTGACAACTTGAATAACTCGGGGCTTGTTTATAGCGAGAGTTAATTGATAATACAAATGTGTTATGATTTGTTTAGCTAAATGAAGCCTCCATATAAATATCTAAGGAGTTTGGTCTAACCTTTCGAATCGCAGCACTGCTGAGAACGAGTGTTGCCGAGATGAAAAACAAAAAAAATAAATTTGAATGCTTATTTGTGATGTGTAACCAGAAGCAGATGTGTCCAGAGCTTAAGGCATTAGAGCTAAACTGACCTCATGTGACATTGTGGGGCCTTGTAAATGTGTTTCAGGTCTAATGTAATGAATATCAATGACAGTTAAATAAACATTATGTTTCTTGTAGTAAGTCCAGCCGGACTGTCCTGTGAGTCATAAATTCATGTGATCATTCCGATGCAACTGTGGGGGAGACTCCTGCCTTCTGCTGCAACAATCACTGAACAAAATGTAGCGTTTTTCTCATAAAACTACTTTTGACGAAAATGGACAAAAACGCAGTAATACAAATGTGTCAATTATATCAACCAATCAAAGTGAACTAAATTGTAGTGTTGGTCAACTAAGAATTTCTTCTTGTCAAAGGTGCCACCGTTTAAGCGCGTGTTGTGTGAGAAGCAGCTACGAAGACAGATTAGAGTAAATGGCGATTTGTGTATGCCGGCATTCACTCCGCCATCAGCAGTTTGGCACAACACATACGTGTTGCAATAAAAGCAAGTGTGATTTCCGATGAATCCAAAGGTTTGATCAGCGGCTGCTCCTCACCTGCAGTATCAGTATCTGTTGCTGTGCCTCCTGCACCTCCTGTTCTGTGGTGTTCAGAGAGCGATCCAAGCGACTTTTCTCTGCAGACAGCCGCATGCTGCCCTCCTCAGTCTTTAACTTCTGACGTTCAACCTGATAAAAGACAAAAGTCAGCGATACAAAAGTGTGAGATACCTTACAAAAGATATTGTAGATATATATATCTCTATAACTGGCAGTCCATGACTTTCATCGTGCACGACCTTATCAAGTGTATTCCTCAGTGCGTCTTTGTCTTTCTCCAGCCTCACAGCCTGCCGCTCGGCGTCTTTTTTCTCAGTCTCAAGCATGGCGACCGCCCGCTGCAGCCCACGCAGCCGCTCCTCAAATGCGGCTCGCTCCTTCTGGGCTGACTGGGCGCTGCGCTGAGCCTCTGCGGCACTGGCTGAGCGCTGGCGTAGAGCCTGACGGAGGCAAGACAGAGATCAAATACAGAGACATGGTTTTAGAGAAGAAAGAGGAGCGGCCACATCCAGAGATTTAGTGGGCAAGTGTATTAGGATACTCTTTTTCTTCTTCTGCAGAGTTGATAGTAGACGTGTGTCCACACACAGATTATCCGTCTTCCTCACCTCTTTAGCGTTGTTGAGCTCAGCTTCCACTGCCTCTCGTTTCAGTTCGCTCTGGTCCAGCTCACTCTGCAAGCTTTGCACTCGCTCAGTGAGAATAACCATGTTCCTTTTCGCCTCCACTAGTGATCCCCGGGCTTCCTCCATGCGCTCCTGGTCGGGCAGAGAGATAATATCAAATCACTATGTGGGCTTCATCCATATGGTCAAACGTCTTTTTTAACCTTCTGTTTCACTCACCTGTAGAAGCCTTTTGTCCTGTTCGGCCACACTCAGCATCTTCTGCACAGAGGCCAGACAACTCTGCGTGCTGCTGTGAGAAGCTTCTGCCTCCTGCAGGCTCTTTTTGAGGGAGGAGGTCTTCTCTCTGAGAAACGACTCACCGTCCTGAGCTTTGAGCAGAGCCTGGCTCAGCCGCTCCACGTCTCTCTGCAGCAGAGACACACAAGCATCTCCCTCCGCCACCTGCAGTTTGTTGGAATCAAATGAATAAATATTAAATATAAATACAATAAATAAATATTAACATGTTATCATGCTGACTGTGTAGCCTTACAGTTGCTAGCGCTACTTTAGACACTTGGTCCTCCTCAAAATAACTTTATTATATATATTTATATATAAATGTATTTATAACTCTATTTTAAGTAAACATTAGTTGAGTCATTTATTATTAATTAATGTATTAATAATGTCATTGTTGATATACAAGTTACACTAGTAATTAAATAGAAATGTACCAACGTTTCATTCCCCATAATTATATCCTCACACGGTTCATTGTAAGAAAAATTAAAAAAGAAGGTATCTTGTGAAGAAATTGCAGACAGTAAAATACAGTATTTCAACATGTTTAGGCCAATAGTAAATATCTTTAAAAACATTAAAAGTAAGAATAATCATATTGAGTACTCGGGGATGTGAGAATGTCTGTCTGAGCCTCCATCACCTGTTTTAGTAGAGCGTCATGGCGCCCCTGGGAGGCCTGGCTGTCAGCCTCGCGGTCTCCAAAACTCAGTTTGAATCTCTGCAGCTCCCCCTCCAGGCTGCGCCTCCCCAGCTCCACCCTGGTGGCCCGAGCTTCAGCCGCCTCCAGCGCTTCCCGCAGGCGCCTCTTCTCCGCCTCCAGGCGCACCTCGGTAGCACGCTGTTTATTTAACTGATCCTGCAGAGACGGCGGGAAGACGGAGATGATTTTCATGAGCAGTTGGTGGACTAAAATGTGTTGTTGAGTAATAGAGAAGTGTGTTAGACCCAGATTAGACATTAGACATTAGATATTCCAAACAGATAATCCACATCTTTTCATTAATCTTCCTGCGACTTTTGAAAAATGCTACACGTATGAAAGTCTTTCAGGAGCACACACACACACACACACACACACACACACACACACACACACACACACACACACACACAACACCCAATGCATTGTGCTTTTTTGCCCTCTTTCTCACTCCGTGTCCCTGCTCTTTGAAAGGTGCTGGCATTGAAAACAGACATGCGGAGGGCTGACGGGGGACACCTACGTGTGCGGCATCTGTTGTTATTACATATTGCCCTACTGTTGAGTGCTAACATACGGCAAAGACGACATATCAGGGGTCACTGCTGTGCGGCCACGGGACAAATATGCATACATACACATGAGTACAGAAACGTGCGTGTACCTGCGTATGTTTTCTATCCATTTCGGAGGTTTGCAGCGCTCGCTCTAAATCGTTCACCCTGTCACTAAGGGCTCTCCTCTCTCTGTCTCCTCTCCTCACCACCTCCTCCTGCTGCTGCAGCAAAACCTGAGTGGTGGTCAGACGCTCGTCCACTCCACGCTTCCCTGCGAACACACACATGAAGACACGATAATGGCTTTGTGATCATTTTGTCTTTCAACTTGGCTCAGGGCGTTTCTTCCAGAACGGATGAATTTGGTAAATTTACATTTGATAAATAAAAGAAAATATTTTTACCTTCTTGGCATTCCTGTAACATGTTTTCCAGGTGAGTGAGACGAATCAGAGCAGACTCCCGCCCCCCCGACAGCTCCTC